CACTATTCCTTCTTTTTGCTTTGTAGTTGACTTCATTATACATTGATACCTCTGGTTCTCTCATTTCAGTTTTTTAAGTTTGTTTTACCTTAAATGCTTTTATATCTGGATTAGACTCCTGATGTGGCGCTGTATGATTAGCACTAGACTTTGAACCACAAGGTTAGCAGTTTAAACCCACCATCTTCTCCTTGGAAAGCCTTTACAGGGTCACTGGGAGTCCGAATCAGCTGAACAACACATAACAAAATATCTGAATTGAGTTCTTCTGGGTGGTATTGTCACGTATAGTAATCTCAGGTTATTGTATTGTTGGTTCTCAGTCCAAACTTCTGTCATTTGTTCATGATGGTGTCTAGTCTTAGAATGCTTCCGTATTCCCCAGCTGTACTCATCTTCAGCTCCAGCATCAATTCAGAAAAATTTTCCTGAATCATTCTCTGCTCCCTGTTAATTAAGTTCTTCTGCCTTGCCTTCATTTTTGTTAGACTTCCGTCTTTGCATCTGTCGCTTCTGATTCATTTACTTGTCTGTTCCCCTCGAAACTGTGCACACCTTAAGGGTAAGAATTGTTTTATGTAGTCTTATATCTCCATGACACGTGTTGCATTATCTGACATATAGTAAGTTCTCGATGTTGTTGATAGAATATTGTCTGCAAAATAGTAACTTACTTTTAGGAGTAACCACATGAAATCCTGACTTGAATGTAAGAATTATATATATATATTAATTTTACACTAAATTATACTTGACTAGATCTTGAAGTGGATTTTGTTTTCTGGAAATCTGAAATGTGAAGAAACACCAGAACACTTTTTCTCCACCTCTCTCTATTATAGAGCAGAAGCATTGAGTGAACCTTTGACAAAGCCACTTAACAAAATTAAGTCAGCCAATATAAAACCAAAACAACCTCCAATGAGAGCCCACTTTCCACTAGGACCTAATCCCTTCCTTGAAAGACCTCAGCAGTTTATAACAACGCAGTCATGTGATGCCCAAGGACAGAGATACACAATAGAAGAAATAGAGGTGCTCAGGTAAGTCAGCATATGGTTCACTGTAGTGAGGAGTTTTGTTAGCATAACTGTAGGTAATTTTATTCTTACAGTATGTCCAATATTATAATGAATTATGCCGTTAATTTGAGATTATAAATATATTGTCTTGTTATTACAACTTAAAAAAGTTAAAAGTTGTTGATTCTAATATAACATTTCTGTTATGTGTCTGTCTGAAAAACCTAGCATTCTACAAAATTGAGTGCTAATTAAAGGATCACATGAGCAGACCAAATGTAACTTATGCAACTTTATAACCAGAGTCTTAGGCATGGAGGGAATTAATACCTGAAATACAACTAGGTTCATGGGGGTTTAGGTCAGCAAATGATGGCTTTGAACTAGGGAGTTCCTGGGTGGTGCAAACAGTTAACTCACTCAGCTACTGACGAAAAGATTGGAGGTTTTGAGTTTGAGACTACTCAAGTAGATGCCTTGGAAGAAAGAGCTGGTGATCAGCATCTGAAATACCAGCCCATTGCAAACCCTATGAAGTACAATTCTACTTGGGCAGACATCGGTCTCCATGAGTGGGAGGCTGTTTGGCAGCAACAATTTGTGGAGTTTTGTTTTGTTTTTGTAAAATGAAGAGTATGTGACAGAGACCTGATCACAAAGCCTCAAATATATACTATGTGGCCTTTTGTAGAAAAGGTCTGCTAGCCCGCCTAGTCTAGGCAATCAGTTCAGTGTGTCTGGAAACAGTCTTGTTGTTCTTAAAAGTGCCGTCAAGTTGATTCCAACCCATAGTGACCCATTATAGGGTTTCCGAGGAACAGCTGGTGAGCTTGAGCCACCGACCTTGCAGTTCAGATGGCTTTGCAGACTGGCACATTAACCGACAGCACCACACCAAGACTCTGGAAACATTCTTGTTGTTGTGAAGTGCCGTTGAGTCGGTTCCGACCCATAGCTACCCTGTATAGGGTTTCCAAGGAGCAGCTGGTGAACTTGAACCACCAACTTTGCAGTTCAGATGGCTTTGCAGTCTGGTGCATTATCCCATAGTGCCACACTTACAGATATTAAAATGCAAAACAATGATGTGGAAACCCGTGATTGAACTGTGAGCCAGTGCGGTGGTGGTGGTGGTAAGTGCTGTCGAGTTGGTTGTGACCCTGTTATAGCATTTCTGAGGAGTGGCTGGTGGGTTTGAATTACCGAACCTTGTGCTTCAAACTGACCTTGCAGAGTTCTGGGCATTATCCTGCAGCACCACACCAGGACTCCACCTGACTCAGTGTAAATGAGGTAAATCTCTTGAGTTAGTGTGCCTGTTCTTAAGTCATCACTGGAGGAGATTCATCCAGCTTAGAGTCATACAAGGCATGTTGGTACTAATTTTAACACTGTAACACTGTAGAATAAACACTGCACTGCTAACCACAAAGTCAGTGGTTCAAATCCACCAGCCACTCCTTGGAATCCCAAGGGCTCCTTCCTATATAGCAGTCACCTGACAGCATTTTCAAACCTAGAGATAGCAGTTCTTTTCCTATTGTTCTATCTCTTTTCATAGAAAAATTACATGAACCAACATAGCACAAAGGGCAAAAGTGTGGATTTGGTGCTGAGAGACAATAAATTAATAATCCAATTTTTTTCCTACTCAACATCCATATAAAAAACCCCTGGTGGTGTAGTGAGTAAAGCATTCAGCTGCTAGCCAAAAGGTTAGAGGCTCAAACCCACCAGCTCCTCTGCGGAAGAGAGATGAGATAATCTGCTTCTGTAAGGATTCATAACCTTAGAAACGCTGTGGGGCAGTTCTGCTCTGCCCTCTAGGGTTGCTATGAGTCAGAGTTAACTTGAGTTTGCTTTTTGATTACACACATGTGAGCTTCTATACTATAATGAAATAGCTGTATTTTTACCTTTAAAATGCAGCTATCCTTCATAATAGTGAAAAATTCTCACCTTTTCTCCAAAATGAGGAGGTATGCGGTTCCTAGTGTTACTGTGTCCATCCCAAGGGGCTTGAAAAGGGTTGTGAAAACATTGAATTCAAAGACAATGAAATTTTCCACAAACTGAAGCTCCCTCATACTCTCAAATTCAGTCACACTAAATAGTGCTCCTTAAAGGCCAAATTGTGATGTTACTGTGCACCAACTTCTAAAGAAAAAGGAAGAGATAGAGGGAGCAAGTAGTTAATTTATATAAACATGTACTCAAAACAAGGAGAAAATACACAAAGCTGCTACAAACCTCATTTCTATAATTTGTCAGGAGGCCAGAGTTTGTAATTTATCACACTTTCTTCTCCATTGCCATTCCATATTCCCATAACCAAGAAATACAAACATATTTTTCAGAATTATAAAATAATCAGATGTTTTAAATTCCAGAATGCAAGGCGACTGCAAAAAGTTTGTGGGAAATAGAATTAAAAGATAATGGAATTTTTCTGTGAACTTACTGAAATCCTGGTACAGGCCGTTTCAGACTAGTGAGCTGCTAGTAAAAGATGTCATTCTTAAAAGAATAATTCATCTAGTAGAATTGAATTAAATTAGTTTTTCTATGGTATTTAATTATTATGTGAAAATTTTGTCTAAAGATCTCAATAGTTTGAACTTGTTGGTTGATTTTTACTTAACCCCCATACCCCGTAATTTATGTTCTAGAGTATTTAAGTGAGATTGGTGATTAAGGTGGTATTGTGTGCCATTGAATTTATGCTGACTCATAGCTGCCCTATAGGACACGGTAGACCTACCCCATAGAATTTCCAGAGGTTAACCACTACACCAAAAGGCTTTCTGGTGATTAAGGACAACTTGAATATTTATGTGTTTTTTTTTCCATATGTTTGATAGGACAACATCAAAAATAAATGGTATAGAATATGTTCCTTTCATGAGTGTTGATCTGAGGGAACGTTTTGCCTATCCGATGCCTTTCTGGTAAGTAAGCTTTAATTACATGGCAATTTTCACTTCTCAGATCATATTTGGTTTTAGTACTCTAAAGTCCACTATAATTCATAGAAGCCTTGAAATTTGAATTTGTAATGTTTTTTAGTAAAAAAATCTGATTGGAAGAGATAGATGGGTAAGAGGATGCAGCATAGCAGGAGCACCTCAGTTATTATTTGCCTGGCAGATGGCACGTGTTGATCTCCTTTTGATTAACTTATTTTCGTAGTGCCTAACACTGTGCAGAAAGTGAGTATTCAATAAATGTGTGTAGAGTCAATGACTGAACCACAACAAAATGCAAATCAATAAAGGAATCAACTAGAAAAATTAAGTAAGATGATAGTGTCGTTTACTACTAAGGTTCAGTTTAAGGAAGAGATTTTAATGAAAGTGTTAGTTGGCAGAGTCTTCTAGGACATTGCCAGGTCATGTCAACAGCCTTACAATTTTGTATTCATTGGTTTAGGACTCCCAGCTTCTGGTAATCCTTGGTCAAGTTGGTTCTGCCTGAAGGTGACCCTGTATAAGGTTTCTGAGGCTGTATATCTGTGCAGAAGCAGCGAACCTCATGTTTTTCCTATGGAGCCATTGGTGGAATTTAACCACCAACCTTGTGGTTTACAGTCCATTGCTTATTCTGTAGAGCCACTGCACTTCCCTGGTCATCCTAATCAACCAAAAAACCAAACCCATTGCCGTTTAGTTGATTCCAACTCATAACAACCCTGTATTGGGTTTCCAAAGCTATAAATCTTTACAGAGGCGTAAAGTCTCATCTTTCTCTCAGGGAGCACATGATGGATTTGAAATGCCTCCCTTGTGGTTAACAGTCTAATATTTATCCTTCAGCACCACCTTAAGGTAATAAAACTTTATTCCAATATATATATATAATAAGAACATTCATCAGAGTATCTTAACACAAAAAAGAAAAAAACTTAAATATCCAATAATATGTCAGATTGACTCACATAGTCAAATATTTTGCTACCAATGAAAAATTAGTTTTTAAAAAATGTAGGAAAATACTCACAGTATGATAAATTTTAAAAGGTACAAAATTGCAGAATATGTAGAAGAACATTATATAGGCATGAATTAAGGAATTTAATAACATATTAAGGACCTTAATAGCATGACAAAATGCTAACACTATAATTGAAAAAATAAATATAAAATACTATAAACTCCCTTAATTTAGGCATAACATTTGTCACAATTGTTATTTTGTATGTGTCCTTTTCCTTGCATGATGTCGTTTCTTCCACACTGAATTTTATAAACTTTTATTATAAGAACAGAGACTGTATCTATTTTAACTAAACTGAAAATATTCAAAGAAAAATGAAGACTGCAAAAATAAACTATTGTATGTCTTGGTGTGGTGCTGTAGGATAAGTACTAGACTGCTAACCACAGGTCTGTGGTTCAAACCCACCACCCACACCTCAGAAACCCTATACAGGGTCATTATGAGTCAGAACCGACTCAACAGCAGTTAGCAACAATAATATGGCAAGGAGGAGTGCAGTGGGCTAAGTGCTTGACTGCTAACCACAAGGTTGGTGGTTCAGGACCACCAGCCACGCTGTGGGAGAAAAGTGAGACTGTGTGCTCCTATAAAGATTTACAGTCTCTCAGAAACCCTTTAAGGAGTTCTACTCTGTCCTATAGGGTTGCTGTGAATCAAAATAAGCTTGATGGCCACAAGTTTTATGGGTATTCAGTAAGGTTTTTCCTTCTTTGTTTTCCAGATTATTTTACAGTGAGAATCAGAAAAAAAAAAAAAATTTTTTTTTTTTTTTGAAATTCAAAGACTGAACAGGAAAAGGCACCATAGTTTATGTGGTTACCTTTGTTGGATCAGAGATAGTAATTTTTAAAATAATTGTTTTTTTTATTATATTACTGATAAAATCATAAATATTGTTGAATAAAACTTACATTTATAAAATATTTAGAATATTTTTTAAATTCTGGGAAAAAACATTGAACTTGGTAATTTAGTGGTGACTTGAGAGAACAAACAAAAATCCAAGAAATCTTGGATTTATGCTGTAGTATATGGAGCTCTGGTAGCATAGTGGTTACGAATTGGGCTGTGAACCACAAGATCAGCAGTTCGAAACTACCAGCTGTTCCACGGGAGAAAGATGCAACTTTCTGCTCCCGTACAGATTTATAGCCTTGGAAACCCGGTACAGGGTTGCTATGAGTCGGAACCAACTCCATGGCACATAACAACAACAATGGTTCATATGCTGTAGTATGGAGTCCTGGTGTGGCACTGTGGGCTAATGTGTTAGACTGCAAAGTGGTTTGAACTGCAAGGTTGGTGATTCAAGCTCACCAGCTGCTCCTTAGAAACCCTATATAGGGTCGTTAAGGGTTGCAGTCGACTCGATGGCACTTAACAACAACAAGGTTCATATGGGAGTCCTGGTGGGACACTGCAGTATAATGCTCTGGACCGCAAGGTTGGTTTGAACTACAGGGTTGGTGGCTGAAATCCACCAGCCGCTCCTTGGAAACACTACACGGTTGCTATAAGTTGGAACTGACTTGATGGCACTAAGGAGCAACAGCATAGTTCCTATTAAGAAGTATTGTGGCTCTGTAAGATAAGCACTGGACTTCAAACCTCAAGATCAGTGATTCAAGCCCATCAGCTGCTCCATGGGAAAAAGATGAGGATTTACAGCCTCAGAAACTATAAACAGGGTTGCTATGAGTCAGAATCGACTTACCAGTACTTATTAAACAACAAGATTCACATGGCAGGTTAATAATACTACCTGGATTATAGATTTGAATTAGCCTTATATTTTTCCTTCAATTTTGTGATGACTGTCTCTCAGTAGAGACAGAGAGTGGTTCTCAGGGGCCAGGGATGGGGAGGGGGCTGACTGCTTAGTGGGTTGGAGTTGGGGTTTTTTTGTGGGGGTTTTTTTTTTTTTCATGATAAAAATATTCTGCATAGTGTTGATGGTTGCCAATATTGTGGATGAACTAAATGTCATGTATTGTTAAGTGCCATCAAGCAACCCTTTATAGGGTTTCTGAGGCTTTAAATCGTCGCTGGAGTAGAAAGGCTAATCTTCCTCCTGCAGAGCACCTCGCAGGCTTGAACTTCAGACCTTGTGGTTCACAGTCCAGTACTTATTGTATGAGCCGCTGCACTCCCTAAATGTTGCTAGCAGTGGCTTTTCTTGTAATGTGTATTTTACCAATGTAATTTATTTATTTATTTATTTTAAGTTTAATGAGACTAATTATGGAAAAAAGTTCATTGCCCTTGCTTTAAAAAGTGTTTGGGAGGAGGTAGATTTTTTTTGGTAGAATGTAATAGTTACATAGTAAATTCCCAACATGCAGTGAGCAACTGGATAATGGTAAAAATAGTGGATTTTTCCACCTGCATTCAAATACCGATTCTGCTAATCCTTAACTGATGACCTTAGCAAGTTTATAATCGCTTCAGACCTTTTCTAAAAATACAGAGAAAGTTAGTATTTGCTTGAAGAGAGTCGTTTTAAGGATTAAATGAGTAATGTATGTGCAACATTGGAGTGATGCCTGGGACATACTAGTGTTACTGAAATGTTAGCTGATAACATTAGTAGCCTTTTAGGGAGGAGTTTGTCAAGAACTAAAATAAGGAATCTGTGGCTTCCTAGGTCCTTCCAAATTAATCAGCTGTGGTTAATGGCACCATTTTATTCAAACTTAATTTCTTGAGCATGTTGTTTTATGTCATTGAGTCCATTCCAGCTCGTAACAGTCCTATAGCACAGAGCAGAACTTCCTTCCCCATATGGTGTCCTAGGCAGCAGTCTATGGGAGCAGATCACCAGAACTCTTCATCCGTGGAGTTGGTGGTGATTGAAACAGTGACCTTTCAGTTAGCAGCCAAGTGCTTAACCATTATGCCACCAAGACTCCTCTTCCAAGTATTATTGCTGTTGTTAGTGCCGTCGAGTTGATTCTGTCCCATAGGGACCCTGTATTGGGTTTCCAAGGAGCAGCTGATGAGCTTGAACCACCGTCCTTGTAGTTCAAATGGCTTTGCAGTCTGGTGTATTAACACATAATGCCATACTCTTAGTATAACCCTACCAAATTAAACTTTTATGTTATTAAAACAAATAAGAATGAATTTAGGTTCCTGTTCTGTTTTCAGTGATCTAACTATTTTTTAGTTGAGAAAAATGATCAGATGAGCAAGTCAGAGTTAAATGTAAAAAGTCAGATTTGACCAGCGTGTTAGTTTTAGGATGACATAAATATAACTATGATCGCAATCAAAAAAAAAAAAAATCTCTGGGAAATTTAATTTTGGTGTTGAGTTATCTTTAAGGTTAATTTATCATTATTATTGTTATTACCACAGTGATAGATTAGGCAAGCTACCATTATCACCTAAACAAAAAACTACATTTTCCAAATGGGTACGACCAGAAGACCTCACCAACAATCCTACAATGATTTACACTGTGTCCAGTTTTAGCATCAAGCAGGTAAACATTTTGCATAATTTTCTGTGAAAACAAATATTTTTCAAATAACTTAAATATACATTTGAATTTTTCCCCAGATCTTTATGATCTATTCAGATGTATTGGTATAATTGGAAAGGTTTTTCATTCCGCATGTTTTGATTTAAACATATTGGTGTTGTTTTGAATTGGCATTGAGTTCATTTGAACTCATAATGTCTCCTGTATAGCAGAGTAGAACTGAACCATAGGATTTTCAAAGCGGTAACCTCTCAGAAGCAGATCACCAGGTGTGTCTTCTAAAGCACCTCTGGGTGTGTTTGAACTGCCAAATTTTCAGCTGGTAATTGAGTGCTTAACCATTTGTGCCACCCTGGAACTACTCATTAATCATACTGAGATGATAAAAGTATGAATAAGTGTTTGGACCAATTACAGATTTTCTTATGTACTGTTGTTCAATATGTACTTGCAAATGAGAAATTTGACAGTCTGAATTTGACCTTTTATAAGAGAATGGATATAAGAGATAAGATGATACTGAGCTTATATAAAACATTACAGTGGCAGAACAGCAATTTGGCTTCATTGCAGTCTTTAGTTACGCTGCTCATTGACGTCACAGCTGTCTTCCACATTAATATCGAAAGAATTGTCCTGAAGTACTGTGGTACTAGAATCTTTTGATAGTGTTTTCATTTTAAGTATAATAAACCAATTTAAAATGCTTTTCATTTTGTGTCAGTAAATACTAATGATGTGATCAGTGAGTGCTTTTATCCCTGTAAGGAATACATTATCCGTATCTTAATTATTCTAAATTAATTCCATTGAAATACTTCATTCAGCTTTCTTAAGACTTTCTAGGATTTATAATGTGCGACATTTCTACTTAACTATTTTCCTATTTAAAAAAAGACAGGTACGTTGCTTAATATGTTTATGGTAATAATACATGAATGAGTTTATCAATAAATTCCTCTTCCTAACAGACAATAGTGTCAGACTGTTCCTTTGTGGCATCTCTGGCTATCAGTGCAGCCTATGAAAGACGGTTTAATAAGAAGCTGATTACCAGGTAAAATGTCCTTTTCTCATAATTACTGTCTCTTCTCTTAGGAACTGTCTTATCTCTGTAAATAAGTCCTTTCCCTCAATATTATGACATTTTGATAGAGATTAAGCAAGTGATTTGTGAATGTAGAAAGACATGGTGAAACTGTTTAAGAGCATATACACATGCAGTTAGAATAAGATATACAATAAATGTATTTTACGGTGTGGTAACCACTAGCCACAGGTTGATTTGAGCACGTGAAATAAGCTAGTCTGAATTGAGGGGAATGTCATGTAAGTGTAAAAAAAAAATACACGTCAGATTTTGAAAACTTAGCATGAAAAAAAAATGTGAAATTGAAAAATATTTCAAAGTTTTATCTCAATTATATGTTGAAATGATAATTTAGCTATATAGGGTTAGTTAAAATTAATTTAAACTTTTTTCGTACTTTTTAAAAAGTGTCCATTGCAAAACACAAAATGACATGTATCTGTTGCTAGCACTGCATTCAATGTACCAAATGTTACTAAAATATTTTTCCTTTCAATTTTTAAAATTTATAGTAGCTTAAAACTATTTAGTGTATAACATTTAGGCATTATAATTTTTTCATAAGGAGTCCTGATTGCTCAGTAATTAAGTGCTCAGCTACTAACCAAAAGGTCTGCAGTTTAAAACCACCAGCAAAAGAGAATTGAGAATCTGCTCCCATAAAGATTAACCACACAACAAAACTCCCTGCCATTGAGTTGATGCTGACTGATAGTGACCCTATAGGATAGAGTAGAACTGCTCTAGGGTTTGTGATGCTGTAAATCTTCAGGGAAGTAGACTGCTCCATCTTTCTATCACAGAGCAACTGGTGAATTTGAACTGCCAGCCTTTCGGTTGGCAGCTGAGTGCTTTAACCACTGTACCACCAGAGTGCCTATGTAATTTACATTTGAGCACTTTTTAGAACACTATGAAATGATGTATACTTTATTTGTGATTTTAAAAGTACTTTATTTTTAGCAAGCAAGCACTTTAGAGTGAAATTCTTTTTGTAGTTGGATTATACATTAAATTATTCTTGTGTTGTATTTTGATAAAAATATCAAGATAATAATGTATAAATAAAATATAGATAGTAGCTAACATTGAATATTAATGATGTAATTTCAATATTTATTTTTCTTATGAAAGCATAATTTACCCGCAGAATAAGGATGGTGAACCAGAATACAATCCATGTGGAAAGTATATGGTAAAACTTCACCTCAATGGTGTCCCACGAAAGGTGAATAATGTCTCTCTGCCGTCTTCTTTTGTCATTATTTGTGTGGACATTTTTAAATTCAGCTTAGTTGACTTTGTGTTTGTGTTACTGGAAGTCCTGTTACTACCGATAGCATCATATGATGGTAATTGAAAATGATGACAAAGTCTTAAAAAGTGGTTTGGTTGTCAGGGTCATTTTATAAACAATGACACCTGCTCTAGGATTTTACTGAATGAGTAAATGAATATTGCAACTAGAATGAGCTAGGATTTCCTAATGACAGATTTTTTCCCCTGTAAAGAAAGATGAAGTTAAGCACTGAACTGATCTCTTCAAAAATAAAACCATGTACTTTGCCTTAGGGTTCCTAAAGAATTAGATTGTCAGCTTTCCTCAGAATAGCTGAAATCTACTGAAAAGTAGTAAAAAGAACTAGATGACCTGGTTTTGATAGTCTTGCCCCTGAAAGGTTTTTGGTTTTGTTTTACTTTATATAATCCATGTATTATAAGTACCTTAAAAACAAAACATTAACTTTCCTGTTGTTAAGTGTCATCAAGTCAGTTCTGACCCCTAGAGACCCCGTATAGAGTTTCCAAGGGGCATGTGGTGAGCTTGAACTGACGACCTTGGCATTCACACCTACTTTGCAGTCCAGCACATTAACCCACAGCACCACACCAGGACTCTTGCTAGGTGCTAGCCATAATCAATGATTTAACAGATTCAGATACTTTTAAAACAATGGTTTGGACAAGATTTATGAAAAAAATGGCGAAAGTAACATTGAGCTAATAATTACACATATCTGGAGATACGTTGTTAGCAAGTGCCAAACCAATTCATAGCAACCCTGTGTACAACAGAGCGAAACAATGGACAGTTCTGCATTATTCTCACAATTGTTGCTGCTTTCGGACCTATTGTTGCTACCACTGTGTCTCTTTATCTCATTGGTGGTCTTTTTCACTGACCCTCCACTTTACCAATTATGATGTCTTCTCCAGGGACTGGTCCCACCTGATAATATGTCTGAAGTATAAGAGACGAAGTCTGGCCATCCTGGCTTCTACAGAGCATTCTAACTACTTCTTCCAACACAGATTGTTTGTTCTTCTGGAAGCCTGTAGTACTTTCAGTACTCTTCGCAAACACCGTAATTCAAATGCATTATCTCTTTGGTTTTCCTTATTCCTTAGCTATCTTTCGCATTGAAAGTACCATGGACTGGGTCAGGTGCACATTAGTCCTCAAACATCTTTGTCTTTAATCACTTTAAAGAGGTCTTTTGCAGCAGATTTGCCTAATGCAGTACATTATTTGATTTCTTGACTGCTGCTTCCATGAGTGTTGATTGTGGATGCAAGCATATTGAAGTCTTTGACAACTTCAGTCTTTCTCCGTTGATATTATTTATTGGGCCTTTATTGTTTCCTTTACATTGAGTCACAATTCATATTGAAGGTTGTAGACTTTGATCTTCATCGGTACTTTGCAAAGTTATATATCATCTGCATATCACAGGTAGTTAATGAGTCTCTCTCCAATCCAGATTCTTCTTCATGTAATCCAGCTTCTCATATTATTTGCTCAGCATACAGATTGAATAAGTATGATAAAAGGATACAACCCTGGCACAAACCTTTCCTGATTTTAAACCATTCAGTATCCCCTTGTTCTGTTAGAACAGCTGTCATTGTCTGTGTTACAGGTTCCTCATGAGCACAGTGAAGTATTCTGGAATACCCATTTTTCACAGTTACCTATAGTTTGTCATGATCCAGGTAGTTGAAAGCTTTTGCATTGTCAATAAAGCATAAGTAAATGTATTTCTGATATTCTCTGCTTTCAGTGAAGTGCCAGCTGACGTCAGCAATCACATTCCTAGTTTCACATCCTCTTCTGAATCTGGCTTGAATTTCTGACTGCTCCCTGTCCATGTATTGCTGCAGTCATTTTTGAATTTTCTTCAGCAAAATTTTACTTGGATGTGATATTAATGATACTGTTCAGTAATTTCTGCATTCCATTGGAATAGGCACAAATATGGACCTCTTCCAATCAGTTGGCCAATCAGTCTGGCAAGTTTCTTGGACTAGACAAGTGCATGCCTTCAGTGCTGCATCAGTTTGTTGAAAGATTTCAATTTTTATTCTGTCAATTTCTGAAGCCTTTATTCTTTGCCAATGCCTTCAGTGCACCTTGGACTTGTACCTTCAGTACCCTCCGTTCTTGATCATATGGTATCTCTTGAAATGGTTGAACATTGTCCATTTCTTGTGGTTTTTTATTTTGGTTTACTTGTGCTTTATTTTTTTTTTTTTAAATGTTTTTTTGTGAATTATGTAATAGTTTACATGGTAGAACATTAGCTTTACACTATCGTATTATCATTACATTGCCGTGGTTACAATATCCTCCATGCATCATCAGCCAACTAAACGGTATACCCTGAAAGCCTGCCACTGGTCGTCAGCACACAGCCTCTCTTCCTATCTGGGTCTATCTAGAGACCCCGGCTGCTCCATTTCTCCACGTCATCGTTTCTGCCTCCATCTCTGGCATCACTGCCTCTCTGGGTAGGATCTCGCATTCCACTCTTCTCCCTTGATGGTTCCAGGGACCTCTGCTCCTGGACTGCAAAGTCAACCACTCCCCTTTTTTTGCTACAAAATATCTACCTTTACATTTCCAACCCTCACAGTCAGTCCTGATAGTAATTGTTCACTATTGTACCATGTGAGTGCTGTCTCCATTTTCTTTCATCAGTCCCACCCAGACAGATTGGATACTACTCAGTGGAGATTCTACCTTCCTCCGTGCCCTCTGGATCTAGGCTCCCTCTGGAAAGCTTGTAAACCAGTCACTTATTGTCTTTGTAGCCCACCATTTTGAATAGCCATTGTCCAAAGTTGTCCATCCCTTTTCTACCCTATGTATTGAAGGGGTGGGAATGATTCTCACTGTAAAGATTTATTCCCTCTTTTGAGCAACTGCATACATAAGTGTTGGTCAGGTTCATCATATTGTATCAGAATATTCATTTTTCCCTCTCTTTCTTCTAGTTGAGTTCTGATCATCCAGCCATTTTAAAGCCAGGTCAAGTGGGGTATTATCTGTAAGTGTGGTGTTCTTATGCATATGCGCTGTCTTCTTACCAGCTGGATGCTTCATTCTCCACTCTAGTCCTCTGTGGTTGTGTCACTAACTCTGGGCCCAGGAGTCCCCAGGTCTTACCAAACTGCTGTCCAACCAGGTCTCCATCCGGGTTCACAGGAGTCTATTGAACATTGTTGGACTTAGCTCACAGCTTCATTGCTGTTTTTTCCTTACTTCTCCTTACTGGTGACCAATGTGGTCACCAGTCAGAGCATGTGTCTGCTTGTGTATTCCCATTGAGTCTTAGTCTTGGAAGGGGTTTTGCCCTGAGGGGACCCGAGCACTTGCCTTGAGGCCTCCTGGGTGTGGGCATCTTACTTGTTTTAGTAGTAGTTAGTTGGACTGCCGTTATTGTTTTGTGTTTCCTGTTGGTCTTTCTTTCAAGAAGTATCTTCTGTTCTTCTGGCTGCTCCATGCTGGTCTGCTTGTCCTTTCCAGTGGAAACTTCCCACCTCAGAAGATTCTGGATGGAGTTCAGGATTCTACCTATGGTCTTACGCAATGCAGAGGCTCCACAGGAAGCCTCCTTCGCTGAGCAATTTATAGTCCCATTTTAGATATTCCAATCAGTTATAAGCAGAAGACGGACTTACAAGCTTTCTATTATGATATTTCTGGCTATTCTTTTCTCTCCCCCTCAAGTGTCTATTTTATAATGATATGCAAGGGAAACCAAGACCATTTCTTTTTGGTACAGTGACTGTGTATTCTTTCCATCTTCTTTTGATGCTTTCAACATCACTCGATATTTTATCTATAGAATACTTCAGTGTTTCAAGTTGAGGCTTGAATATTTTTTTTCAGTTCTTTCAGCTTGAGAAATGCTTAGCATCTTCTTCTGGTTTTCTAACTCTGTATCTTTGCACATTTCATTACAATACTTGACTTTGTCTTCTCAAGCTTCCCTTTGAAATTTTCTGCTCATTTCTTTGTTTCTTCACATCGTTCATTCTCTTTAGTGTCCCTACACTCAAAAAAGCAAGTTTCAAAGTCTCTTCTACACCTATTTTTCACTTTTTTTTCTTTCCTATTTAATGACTTGTGTGATATTCTTGATGTCATCCCACAACTCTTCTGATTTTAAGTTATTAATGTCTACTGCATCAAATCTGTGCTTGAGATAGTCTCTAAATTCAAGTGGGATACATTTAAAGTCGTATTTTGGCTCTCTACTTGTTTTAAATTTTCTCAGCTTCAGCCTGAACTTGAATGTGAGCAATTGATGGTTCGGTTCCACAGTCAACCCCTTGCCTTGTTTTGTAGCTCTGTACTGTTCCCACAGAAGTAGTCAGTTTGTTTCCTGTGTTTTCTATCTGGTGAGGTCTAGGTGTATAGTCTCCTTGAAGAAAGACATCTGCAATGAATAAGTCATTGGTCTTGCAAATTTCTGTCATGAATTCTCCATCATTTCTATCATCATGGCCATAATTTTCCAACTACTGATGCGTCTTTGTTTCCAACGTTCACATTCCAATCACCAGTAATTATTAATGCATCTTAATTGTATGTTTGGTCAGTTTCAGAATGAAGAAGTTGGTAGAATTCCTCAGTTTCATCATCATGGGTTTTAGTGGTTGGTGCATAAATTTGAATAATAGTGGTATTAACTGGATATACATATTATCCTATCAGACAGCATTGTACTTTAAAATAGATTTTGAAATGCTCTTTTTGATGATAAACGCGATGCCATTCTTCAATCTGACGTTCCCAGCAAACCCATGTGAGGTTGGATTCGGAATGAGCAATACCAGTTCATTTCAGCTCACTTATGCCTTGGATATATATCTTTATGCATTTCATTTTTGACAACATCCAATTTTCCTAGATTCATACTGCATGCATTCCGTGTTCCAGTCATTAATGTTTGCAGCTGTTTCTCCTAATTTTGAGTTGTGCCCTACTAGCAACTGAAGATTTTGAAAACTTTGCTCCATTCACATCATTATGCGCAACTCTGCTTTGAGGAGGCAGCTTTCCCCAGTCATATTTTGAGTGCCTTCTAACCTGAGAGGCTCACCTTCTGGCACTATATCTGTCAATGTTCCTCTGCTATTCATAATTTTAGTGGCTAACCATTCAGGAGTAGTCTGCCTCTCCTTTGTAGTCTGCTTAGTCTGGTGAAACCTGTCCAGCATGAGTGACCCTGCTGGTATTTAAAATACCAGTGGCATAGCTTCCAGCATCACAATAACACACAAGCCACCACACAGTACAACAAACTGACAGACGAGTGGTCAGAGAACTTGTTAGAAATTCTGAATACCAGGCCCATTCCCAGACCTCCTGAGTCAGAGTCTGCATTTCAACAAGATCACCAGTAATTCAAATATACTTTAACATCTGAGATGTTTTACTCTGCAGCACAGTAAGACTGAAACTTTAGTGTACACAGAATCACTTGGGAGGCTTGTTAAAACAGATTATTCCTCCAAGAGTTTGTAATTGAGTAAGTCTGAGAATATCTTACATTTCCAGTGATGCTGATGCTGTTAGTATAGGAACCCTGTTTGAGAACCACTACTCTAGCAATTACTTAAAAACTAATATCACCAAGAATAGTTTTTCTATGCTATATTTAAAAAATAATCTCTTATAATAACAAATCAACCAAAATATGGTTTCTTTATTGTCCTAATACTGGTAGATCAAAACTCTACTTATCTGTATCTCCGAACTGCTATAGAATTATTGTTAAGTGCCGTTGAGTCGGTTCTGACCAATAGCGAGCCTGTATAGGGTTTCCAAGGAGCGACTAGTGAGCTTGAACCACCGACCATGTCATTCAAACGGCTTTGCAGTTTGGCACATTAACTCACAGCGCCACACCAAGACTCCAGAATATGAATTAGATGCTGTATATTTGTGGCAATTAATTTATCTCTTATTTAAATGTATTTTTTAATCATAATGTTCAACTTGGCATAGCAGGCATCTTTTTGAAGATTTGGTTGAGTAGTAATGTTATTTACCATAATATGAGACCCTTTTCTAATTATTTGTGGTATGAACACTTCTGAAATCCATAATTTTTTTTTTATGATAGTTCCCTGCCACTTGATCAATTGATGCAAGTAAAATTAGTTTATATGGTTGAATTAAAAGTACTGTATAAATTTCATAATGTATCAAATTCCAGAAATGAAATTATCACTTCCATAGTAATAGGCACATTGTGCCTTTTGTTTAGCAACATGGAAATTTTGATTTTTTTATTATATGTAATAGAAAAGATTTTAATATATTTTGTACCACTTATGGAAATTTCATGTTCTCTTTATTCAGGTGATAATTGATGACCAATTACCTGTTGATCATAAGGGAGAATTGCTCTGTTCTTATTCTAACAACAAAAGTGAATTGTGGGTTTCTCTCATAGAAAAAGCCTACATGAAAGTTATGGGAGGTTATGATTTCCCTGGATCCAATTCAGTAAGTAATAGATAGGGTAATCTAAGACACAACTTCTGTTAGCTAAAGTTTGAAAATTAAAAATGGTGTTTTTGATTTAAGGAAAATGATCAACCCATGAACTATGTTGGTTGAACTGGCACCTTATTATAGGAGTACATATTTTCTTATATAAGGATGGCACATTGTATGCATTCTGTATTTAGGAAAATCAAAAATGCATATGTCTGATGTTATGTTGGGATACAGTGCTAGTTAAGTACAGTGTACCTTTTCCAGAGAAGCCTGTTCCACAGATCAAAGGCATGTGACATAAGGTCATCTTTCTTTATATTTCAGTTTGTAGATTGGCTTCAAGGAATTTTGTTTATTTGCTTTTGTTTTCCAGTCTCAGTAAAATTTACTCTTTCAAATTGAGGCATGTACCTTCAAATGAGGTAGACTGTTGGACATTAGACAAAATTGACTTAATTTTAAATGACACTAAGCAGCCTATGACCTCATAAAATTTATTTCTTAGCCTCTTTGTTTAACTAATGTGAAGATATTACTCTCTCTCAAGGTTGTAAAGATTAAATGAAGTAATTTTGTATGTAAGTCACCATACCAGATTAGTTTTTCTGCATAATATCTGTCCTCCTTCACTCTAATGGTTTTTATTATGTTGTTGTTAAGTGCCGTCGAGTCGGTTCCGACCCATAGCAACCCTGTACAGGGTTTCCGAGGGTGTAAATCTTAACAGGAGTAGAAAGCCTCATCTTTCTCCCGCAGAGTGGCTGGTAGTTTCGAACCGCTGACCTTAAGGTTCGCAGCCCAATTCGTAACCACTATGCTACCAGAGCATACTAGGCAAAAAATACAAGGGGGCTTCAAAAAATCTGTGAAAAACTTTCATTTTTCAATTCCATTTTTCCACGAATATTTTGAAGCCCACTCATATAGCTCTTAATGAAATGCTAGAATATTGTTAAGTGTCATGGAGTTGGTTGTTACTTATAGTGAGGATTTCTAAGGGACTGCTGGTAAGTTTGAACTGCCATCCTTGTGGTTCAGACCGCCCTTATGGTTGAGTGTTTATCCAACAGTGCAACACCAGGACTCCTATAGTATATATTTTATCTTAATTGTAAAGCTGATTTAGTCTTTCAGATATTGTAGTTGCTTTTCTGGTACATTGTCTGCTGTCATCATCATTATCATTAAAGTAGTTTTTTTCTGTTACATGTTTTGTAATTTCATAAGTACCAGTAAAAGACATTTTTTAAATAGGTTTATGAACTACTTCTATTCTTGAGTTTAAGTTAAATTTATATATAAATTAGTTATGATTCATACATAACATCCAGCAGTGTTTGTCTTAATATATAGTGTACTCTCGATGCATAAAAAAGTAAAGAAGCACTTCCAAATGCACTAAAACATCTTTACCGTGAAATATAGTAATAATCACAATGTTGGTTTTTTCCATTTATACTTCTGGTCTGTTTTCTTTAACAGTACTGTTTTGATGCATGCCGTACAATAGCACCCATTTGTTACTATGACCTATTTTATATACCTCAAATTTTTAATGTAATAGGCTTTTCAGGGTTTCATTCATATCTACAGTTTATGCGTAAGTTATACATGTGTAACCAGGGATTGCCTATATTTAGGAAAAGTAGCAAAGGCTATAAGGAAAAGACCAGTGTGGTGTCAAGTCAGGGAGAAATTTGAGTTAAATAAGTAATTTATTACAACCTTATGAGTTTTTCCTATATAATCATTTTACCAAATCAGTGAGATTTAATAGCTACTGGGGATTTAAGATCTTGAAAACAACAGACTTGAAATGTGTTTCTGTTGCAGAATATTGATCTTCATGCATTAACTGGGTGGATACCAGAAAGGATTGCCATGCATTCAGATAGTCAGACTTTCAGTAAGGATAATTCTTTCAGAATGCTTTACCAAAGGTAAGCAGGACTTCTTTTTTTCCAATAAAAAAGGCTGCTTCAGAACATTGCATTGTACCTTATTTAGAATAAGGATTGCACAAGCTATCATTTTCAGTTATTAAGGAAATTGTTTCGAAAATAGACTTCACTTTATGTACTTGCTACAGTCGCCTTCAGTTATCTTCAGTGAAAATTGTAGTTCATCCAAATTGTAGACAATGCAAAATATTTGGTCAATATGATACAGAAAAATAATTTTGCGATTCATAAACATTGGTAAAGTTTGAGGAAGGTGAGAAAAGAGAAGACTGACAACATAAAGAGATCATATAGGAACTAGAAAGTTGTCTATGCAATAATACACTCTAATAGCAAAATTAGAAAGCTGATTGATCAATAAAATGCCCCCTTTTAAGAAATGCATTTGTTGTAACATGTATTCACTTTCATTTGGAAACTGTTGGAAATTTTCATATTTGCTTTTCCTCATTGATAGGTTTATACCTGAGAATTCAGTTATCAAAATTGGTAGTGGAGGGCCAGGTATTTTATTCTCTCTAGTATGCTGTGAAATAGAATCCACTTTTTGTTGAAAGTTCTTGTGGGGAAGGGGATAGCATGTTTCAGAAAAATTTTCGAATTTGAGGAAACGCTTGTAAACCATTAGGTTAAAAGGAAAGATGTTACGATCGGAAATTATACACGTTTCTCTTTCCTTGTCTTTTGGTATCATTCCAGATTTCACAAAGGTGATGTCCTTATCACTGCGTCAACCGGCATGATGACAGAAGCCGAAGGAGAGAAGTGGGGTCTGGTTCCCACACATGCATATGCTGTTTTGGATATTAGAGAATTCAAGGTTTTGCCTCAATTTTTTTTTGCTTGTGTTTCTTAATAATAAAACATTCAGGCTTTAAATGACATGTTAGCCTTTTGAATGCTGACATATGAAGTTTTAGGAAAAGTTTTAAAATCATTCCACCTATTAGAATAAACATAGTGTCTATTGTTGTTGTTTGTTAAGTGCCAATGAGTCGGTTCCAACTCATAGCGACCCTGTAGAGGGTTTCCAAGGAGCGGCTGGTGAGCTTGACCCACTGACCTTGCAGTTCAAACCGACTTTGCTGTCCAGTGCATTAACCCACAGCACCACACCAAGACTGCAACTTCTACCATTAGAAATGATGAAATAGAAAGATGAGAAATGTTAAAATGGTGACAGCACAGATATTGATGATAGACTGGAAACACTTTAATAGCTCTTTCTCTTTTCCAAAAAAGTACTAAGGTCGTCATGAATACAGTATCCTGAATGTTCTGGTCTATATGTCAGTGTTTGGGCCTAACACACTGTTAGACTGTAGAAGATGTTAAGTGTTAAGCTAAGTGCTGTCAAATCTGACTCACAGCAACCCTGTCTAAGGTTTCTGAGGAGCACCTGGTGAGGTTGAACTACCGACCATGTGGTTTGCAGTCAAGTGCATATCATACTGTGCCACAGTGGGAGTCCATAATGGTAAATACTTGTGAAAGGCTAGGAAATCGGAAGACACATGGGTTGATGTGAGCAAGTGTTGCTTTTCTAGCAACCTGTGCCTGCTACCAAGCTTTTCAGGTTCTTTCTCTTCATTGTTGCCAGTCTCTCCTGACAATGCAGCCAAAGTGCTACTTCTAGGGAGCATTCTGGCTGTATCTCTTCCAAACCAGGTTTGTTTGTTTTTCTGGCAGTTCATGGTATATTTGATATTTTTCACCAATACCTTAAGTGAAAGTCATTGTTTCTTTTTTGGTCTAGCTTTCATGCATATGAGATGATTGAAAATATCATGGCTTGGATCAGGTACACTTTAGTCTTCAAAGTGACAGCTTTACTTTTTTTTTGAGCACTTTAAAAAGGTTTTTTGCAGCAGATTTGGCCAGTGCAATAATGTCATTTAATTTCCTGTCTGCTGTTTCCATGGATGTTTGATTATGAATCCAAGTAAAATGAAATCCTTGACAGTGTCAGTGTTTTCTCCATTTATCATGATGCTGCTTATTGGTCCTCTTGTGAGGATTTTTTTTTATGTTGAAGTATAATACATATTGAAGGCTGTATGTCTTTGATCTTCATCAGTAAGTACTTCAAGTCTTCTTCATTTTTGCCACACCGATTGGTAACTGCTTATCACAGGTTAAGTTTTCCTCCATTCCTAATCCACATACTTCATATAATCCAGCTTCTCTGATTATTTACTCCACATACAGATTGAATAATATGGTGAAAGGAATCAATCCTAGTGCACACCTTTCCTGATTTTAAGCAATTCAGTATCCAACCCCGTTGTTCTGCTGGAACAACTGTCTCTTGGTCTATGTACAGGTTCCATATGAGCATAGTGAAATACTATGACATTCCCAGTGTTACTCGTAATTTGCTACGATCCACACAGTTAGAGTGCTTTTGCATAGTCAGTGAAACACAAGTAAACATCTTCCTGGTATTCTCTGCTTTCCTTCAAGATTCATCTCACATAAGCAATCGTATATCCCTCTTTGCATATCCTCCTTTGAATCCAGCTTAAATTTCTGGCAGTTCCCCTGTTTTTGAATTAATCTTTAGTAAAATTTTGCTTGCATCTAATAATGATGTTGTTCAGTAATTTGCCCATTTTCTTGGTTCACCTTTTTCTGGAATGGACATGAATATCACTACTTTGTTGGCCAAGTAGGAGTCTTCCAAATTTCTTGGGATAGGCAGTTGAGCACTTCCAGTGGCACTTCCATGTGCTGAAACATTTCAATTTGTATTCTGTCAATTTTTGAAAGCCTTGTTTTGGCTGGTGCCTTCACTGCAGCTCTCACTCCTCCTTCAGTACCAATACCACATGCTACCTATTGAGATGGTTGAACATCAACCGGTTCTTTTTCGTACAGTGACTATATTCTTCCCATCTTCTTTTGATGTTTCCTCCATTAATCAATGTTTAATCTCGAATAACTATATTGGTTTTTTTCAGAGTTCTATAATTCATGACTTTCTTCGGTAAGTTAGATTTTGTACTAAAACTTACCTATACTTGCTTAAAAGTGTTATCCTTTTTGTTTGACTGCTTCTCTAATCTCCTTGATACTCTTAAGATCGTTTTCATTTTAGTCTCATCAGTTCTTTTGGGTCAGTTTTTTTCCCCCTTCTTCTTGAAGTGGCATTCCACCATAGTGTGGAGATCCATCTCATGCTCAAGTTGCTATCTCTTTGGACAAGGCCATCATGGGATTTCTGAACCTATCCAAGACATTTCCTTTGCTGTTACTTGGAAGTAACTTTGGAAATGGGATATTCCAGCATAAATAAATTGTTTAGTTCTTGGGTATTTCTTCTCCTTTGCAGCATCCTTCAAATTGCCTGATCTCTAATTACTGAAGCATAATTTTCAGACATACATGAGTGTCCTCCGAAAACCTTACCAGCAATTTACTCTTCTTTAGGTTCCATTTTAAAGAAATGTTTGAGTCTTGCATTAAGAGTGATTTCATGCCATAGATTTTATGAAAAGAAACAATTTTAAAAGTGTTAAATGTGTGTTCACTGACATGGAAGAGGGGTGGGTGAGGTACAGGTAGTGTAGGAGAGAGAGAGAAAATAAATTTTATTACTAAAATATCTAGGAAATGTAATCTGAGAAGAACAACTCTTACTATGCCCAGAAATCATATCTGCCCTAGGCCATGATTTGACACCATTGCTAATTGCAAGGTCAACGGTTTAAACCTACCAGCCACTCTTTGGAGACCCTATACAGGGTCGCTATGAGTCAAAACTGACTTCATGGCACTTAACAGCAACAACAAAATAGCAAAGGAACGTGTTTTTAATTTTTTTTTTAATTCCACAGTGCGATTTAGTAGAAAAAGCATTGCTTTTCTTAAGTGACTGCTAGAAATAAGGCAGCTATCCCTTTGGATTGACAGTCTTTTTTTATGTTTCTAAATCAGTGTCATTATTCAGCAGACACAACCATAGTATTATTTACTAAGAACAAGTTTAGCTCTCTCTTCCATAATGCTTAATGGAGACCACTGAAAAAGGATAGTGTTACCACTTCATGTTTACAGTCGCATTGGGAATACAGCACTCCTACATTTGCTTGACTAGCTTACAATGTGACATAGAATACTACTTGTTTTAAACAAATGTAATGCAGATTAATGGCACTATAAAGCTTATAGGAAATGGTCATTTAAAGAAGGAAATTAATGAATACTAGATACTTTGGTTATGTTATTTAATATTTAGAATAGTTTTATAAGGAGACATTATAATCCTCATGTCACACATGATTAAACAAATGCTCAGAAGGGGTAAATGACCCACCCAAAACTCACAAAGCCCATAAATAATGAAGCTGTAATTTGGTCCCGTTTCATTCATACTCCAAAGCCCATTCTTTTTTGTCTTCACTGTGTTGGTCTTCACTAAGAGACCAAAGTGGAGGGAGAAACTGAAGAGGATCTGACTGGAAGTAGTAACTATAGGGGATCAGAGAGTGTCTTCTGGATCGGGAACAATAGCATGAGCAGATGCTTTTCAAGGCAGAATTGAATAAGGAGTATTTTTGAATTGTGATGTGGGAGACTCAGATGGAGTCAAAGTTGCATGACTGAAAAATATTGGAAAGTGAAGTGGGTTCACGGTAGAGTGCCCTTAGAGTAGGAAGTAACTTGAACTCTAGGGCAGCCCTGTCCAATAGAACTTTCTGTCATGATGGGCATGTTCTGTATCTGTGCTGACCAGTGAAGTAGCTCCTAGCCCATGTGGTCTTGTTAAGAGCAGTCAAGTTGGTTCCAACCCATACTGACCTTGCCTAAGGTTTTCAAGGAGTAGCTGATAGGTTTGAAGCACCGACCATGTGATTTAAACTGACCTTGCAGTCAAGCAAACACTTAAAAATGTGGCAACACATGTGACTAAGGAACAGATTTTTTTTTTTTTTTAAATTTCTTTATTTGAATCTAAATGCTCACATGTTGCTTGTGACTACTGAATTGGGCAGCATAGTTCAGGGGATAGGTAGGTAGGTAATCTTTTAAAGTTTATCAGGTTGGTGACCTGAAGAACATGTCACTGAAAGTATTCATTTCAGATTCATTTGGAGGGGAAAGGGTTGGTAAGTTCCCAGAATAATATATCCTTAGAAATTATGCTATAATTAAGAAAAGAAAATCATCAATGTTTGCCTTTTAGCATTATCTCCTGTCTTTCTAAATAGGGGCTACGATTTATACAATTAAAAAATCCTTGGAGTCATTTACGTTGGAAAGGGAGATACAGTGAAAATGATGTAAAAAACTGGACTCCAGAGTTACAGAAGTATTTAAATTTTGATCCCCGAACCGCTCAGAAAATAGACAATGGTAACTATATCTTTTTAATGTTAATGCCAATTGATTTTCAAGTAAATATAATGCTTTAACTTTGTGAAAGCATTTAACTTATGTCGTTTATTATTAGGATATTTTTAGATTAAAAAAGACATTTAATTTTCAGGGATATTTTGGATTTCATGGGATGATCTGTGCCAGTATTATGATGTGATTTATTTGAGTTGGAATCCAGGTCTTTTTAAAGACTCAACTTGTATTCACAGGTAACCTTTTGCTCATTCTAGAATATGCTTGATAGTAGTGTCAACTCTTCATTTAAAATTTAATGGCTAATTTAGGAAGACCAGTATTCCTTTTTATCATGTCCACAGTTGATTGCTTTCTTTCTATACTTTTCAGTTGAAAGATTTTAAAAACAATAAAAATAAAGCATAACACAACACTTTTTAAAATGTTATATTTTAGTTCTGTGAGAAATGTAATTATTACTTTTTTCTTTGTTGACTCTTTTAGTACTTGGGATGCTAAGCAAGGACCTGTGAAAGATGCCTATAGCCTGGCCAACAACCCCCAGTACAAACTGGAGGTGCAGTGTCCACAAGGGGGCGCTGCAGTGTGGATTTTGCTTAGTAGACACATAACAGACAAGGTACTGACAAAAACCTTCTACTGATCCCATACAGAAATTCCTTAAATTTAGACTGTTATTATAAAAGACATACATAAATTGATCATCTGTTTCATTTATATAGGTACCTTGAAAATAGTGTTTTCTTGGATAAATAAATGTTTTCCTCTAAGGAAATTTGTAATCATACACAAAAAAAAATTTTTCAAAACTCAACTCTGGGAAAAAATGTATGGGAACTTAAGCTTTTTTAGTGAGGGCTTGGGGAGTTGATTTAAATATCAGATCTTAACGTAAAATATGCTGAAGGGGGTTTGAAAATGTTGATGTGTTCATTATTAGGCTTCATTCTATAAACATAATCTAAAGAGCCCCAGAATCTTATGTAATTATTAGCACAATATAATAATATACTGAAAAAGTTTAATTAAGTGTATTGAGTGCTTAAGTAGCTGAAAGAAATGTTGTTGAAATTAGTTTTTTTTTTTTTTACTCTTTACACTAAATAAGGAGCATTTTTGAGCCTTTTTGCATAGTCTCATTGGATTCTTTGTGATTTTAGGATGATTTTGCAAATAATCGAGAGTTTATCACAATGGTTGTATACAAGACTGATGGGAAAAAAGTTTATTACCCAGGTATGTTTAAGTTGCCAAACATTAAAATTTTATTTACAGAATGAACTTGAGAAATGACAAGTTTATTTTATGTAGGTAATGTGCAGAAATTTAGAAACCCATGCACACAGATGGGTGGGTATTTATAATACTTGTGTTTTTTATTTAGAAACTCCAGGAATATGGGATTTTGACATTCTTACACATTTCTGTTGGAGTTTTATTTCTAATAATGAAATCATATCTTTTTCTCTGATAATAAAAATCCCATGATTCTCTGTGCTTTGGTAGATAAAATCTAAGCTCTTTAGCTTGGTGTATAAGGCTTTTATATTCTTATTTGTAGTATATTCTGGCCTTAACCTTTCTTTCTCACTTTATCTCCTGTCCCAGCTTTTCACAGGTCACTGTCATTCTGGCATTTGCTATTTCTCAATACAATGCCTTTGTTGTCCCTTTTTTTCAGTTTTTTTCCTGCCTGGAATATGTCTTCTCTGCCCTCTACCCACATATTATTCTTACTCTGTGCTTCTTAATGAAGCTGGTTTAGACTTAGTTCAAATGTTATCTCCTCTGTGATAACCTTTCCAAACTGCCAAAGTGAATCTCTTATCTACAGGGTATCTGAGGCTTTAACATAGTGTACTGAAACCAGTATGCATTCATTCATTTAAAGATTTTTTTAATCACTTACTGATAGGCACTGTTTTTAGGACATAAGAAAACCCAATGAATAAAATAGGAACCTGTTTTCATAGGATAAGGTCATGTGTTAGTGACTTGGTTGTTTATTTGGATGGTCATGGAAGGCCTCTTTGAGAAGGGATAGGAACTTTGAATGATAAAAAGAACTGTCATACAAAGAAATAGAGGGAAGAGTATTATAGGCAGAGGGAACAGCTAGTAAAAAAAAAAAAAGAAAAGAAAAGAAACTACAATGGGAAAAAGAGTGGTGTGTTTCAAGAACAAAAGAGGCCAGTAGGCATGAGGAAAGAGCTTTGATTCTCAAGAAGAGGTCAGAAAAGTATGGAAGGGGTCAGATTACAGAAGCTCTCTGTATGTGTAGGAAAGAGTTTGGATTTTGTTCCAAGTATAATGGGAAATCTTTGGACAGCCTTAATTTGGAAAATGCCATCTGATTTTGTTTTTGTTCTTTCTCAAGCTTATTCATTGTATAATGTTGCATGCCATCGAGTCAATTCTGACTCATACTGACCCCATATAGGATTTCCAAGGAACAGCTGGTGAGTTTGAACTTCCAGCTTTGTAGTTAGCTGTCTAGTTGTGATCCTATAGTTCTAGCTGTTCAGTGCTGATCCTACAGCTCCACACAATAGGACACATCGGGCACTTTTTGTTATTTTATGTGAGAACTAATGGTGGTTTGGACTGTGGGTAGTTGTTATTGTTAGGTGCCATCAAGTCGGCACCAACTCATAGTAGTCTTGTGCACAGCCAAATGAAACACTGCCCGATCCTAGGCCAGCCTCACTACTGTTGTCACGCTTGAGTCTATCGATGCTGCCACTCGTTGGGGGTCTTCCTCTTTTTCTCTGACCCTCCACCTTACCCAACATGATATCCTTCTCCAGCGAATGGTCCCTCCTGACAATATGTCCGAAGTTTGAGAGGCAAAGTTTGGCCTCTTGGCCTCCAAGGAGCACTCTGGCTGCACTTCTTCCAAAACGGATATGTTGGTTCTTTTGACAGCCCATGGCACTTTCAATATTCTCCTCCAACACCATACCTCAACATCAATTCTTCCACAGTCTTCTTTATTCACACCCAGCTTTTGCATGCATATGAAGTTATTGAAAATACCATGGCTTGGGTCAGGCACACCTTAATCCTCAAGCTGACATCTTTGCTCTTCAACACTTTAAAAAGGTCTTGTGCAGCAGATTTGCCTAATGCCATACGTCATTTGATCTCTTGACTGCTGCTTCCATGAGTTTTGATAGTTGATCCAAGAAGAATGAAGTCCTTGACAACTTCAATCTTTTCTCTGTTGAGAAGAGTGTTTATTGGTTCAGTGGTGAGGACTTTTGTTTTCTTTTCATTGAGATGCAATCCATACCAAAGGCTGTGTTCTTTGATCTTCATCAGTAAATGTTTTAAGTCCTTATCACTTTTCAGCAAGCAAGGTTGTATCATCGGCATATCGCAGGTTGTTAATGAGTCTTCCTCCAATCCTGATACCACATTTTTCTTCATATAACCCAGCTTCTCGGATTATTTGCTCAGCACACAGGTTGAATAAGTATGGTGAAAGAATACAACCTTGTCGCACACCTTTCTTAATTTTAAGCCATTTCAGTGTTCCCGTGTTCTGTTCGAACAACTTCCTCTTGGTCCATGTACAGATTCCTCATGAGCACAATTAAGTGTTCCGGAATATTCATACTAAGCAATGTTGTCCATAGCTTGTCATGCTCCACACGATCGAAAGTGTTTGCATAGTCCATAAAGTACAGGTAAATATCTTTATGATATTCTCCACTTTCACCCAACATCCATCAGACATCAGCAATGATATCCCTCGTTCCTTCAGTATCATTGGCTCTGGATCATAGGCTACCTCTTGAAATGGTTAGGAGTAGTGATAAATAGGAGTGGACAGATGGGGGTTTAGTGGGGTTGCCAGAACTTGTTGATGGAACAGATGTAGAGAACAAGGAGAAATCAAGGACGATTCCTTTTTTTGGTTTGGGCAATAAATAAAAGGTGTGACATTTACTGAGTAGGAGTTGAAGTGAAGAGAAGTAGATATGCTCCCGAGTGAAATCAAAAGGGTTTTTTGTTTTGTTAAATTTGAGATACAAGTTAGATAGCCAGGAGTCCTGGTGTGTTGCTGTAGGCTAAGAAGTGAACTGCTAACCACAAGGTTGGTGGCTCAGACCCACAACTGCTCCTTGGAAATCCTACATAGGGTCAGAACCGACTTGACAGCACTCAACAGCAACAGCATTAGATATCTTAGTGAAGATGCCAAGCAAGGAATTGAAATTTTTAGTAGAGTTCTGCAGTGAAATCAGAACTAAAGGTGTGCATTTAGGAGTCAGTGGCATCTAGGTGACATCTGAAGGACATGAACTGTTTAAGCATCTATGGGGATACAGGCATGAATACACAGGACCTGACCTTGGACTCTCAGACATCTTGACATTGAGCAAAGGAAAAGGAACCAGCATAATACTTTGAACAGAATGATTGCTGAAACGGAAGGAAACCCAGTGTTACAAAAACTCACATAACCTAAGAGAAGAAAATATTTGAAGAGGGAGAGAATGGACAGCTAAATGCATCTATCGCTATTTGAGTGGTCAAACCAGGGTTGGACAGAGAGGAGACTATTAATTTAGTATCTTTGTAGTCATTGGTGACTTGACAAGGAGCAGTGAGAGGTGGGGCTACAAACCCAGTTGGAATGGTTTGAGAAGAGCTTGTGAGGTAAGGAAGCACCTGTTGGTAATAGTTCTGTCAAGGAGGCTATATAAAGAAATGGGACAGTGATGGATTAAATGGATTCAAAGAAGTTTGTTCTATTTTTGAAGCTTGATATTGCATGTGTGTTGAGGGTGGACACTGAGTTTTTATCAGTCCAGATTCCTAGAGTCTGGAATGAATATAGCACATAAGAAATCCAACAATAAACGTGAAATTGACCAGATTTTGTTTTGTTGCGTGTTGGTCATTAAACAACCTAAAAAACATAAATACTTTTAATATATGCCTAGCACTGAAATGTTCTTTTAGTTTTCTGTTTCAAATATAATTTTTATCCTTTTTACCCTGGGTTTTTTTGCCTTGTTTTTTAAAATGCCCACACCTTTATAAATAATGATTTTACATTTTTAAAATATTTGCTATTTTCTATAGTATTTTCATCACCACATTCTTTAGTAAATAGAAAAGGATTTATTGTTCTCCATTTGACAGAAGGTTAAACCAAGATGGGTTAGAAATCTTGTCTTTCCTCGTCAGAACAGTTCAAGTCTCATAATGCTTTCTTTTCACAGTGAATATTACTACTCTAAGCATTAGAAAAGGAGCTCTGGTTGTGTAGTGGTTACGAATCGGGCTGCTTAGCTCAGGGTCAGCCGTTCAAAACTACCAGCTGTTCTGCGAGAGAAAGATGAGGCTTTCTGCTCCCGTAAAGATTTACAGCCTCGGAAACCGTGTACAGGGTCACTATGGGTCAGCACCGACTGCACGGCACACAACAACAACAATAAGCATTAGAAAGAAGTCCTGGTGGTGCTGTGGGTTAGGCATTGGGCTGCTAACCACAAGGTCAGTTGTTCAAACCCACCAGCTGCTCTAAAGGAGAAAGATAATGCTGTCTGTTCCTGTAACGATTTACAGTCTCAGAATTCCTATGTAAGGTTGCTGTGAATCGGAATCGATTTAATGGCAGTGCATTTGGTGTTTAGCTAGCTGTCAGAGACTTAACATTTACAGTATTAAAATGTTTAGTTTTCTAATGAGTTACATTACAAATGTTCAGTGTTCCCAATTAAATGACAAAGCATTAAACTTAAGTGGCATGTAGTAATTGGCATGCCTAAAATTATTTTATCAGTGTTATTGTCAAACCATGTATAAGGCAACACTATTTGTAATAGTAAAATACTGGAAACAATCTCAGTATCCATAGTAGAAGAATAAGGAAAATATGTACTAATCATACATTAGAGTATTTATAAAGGCAGCTAAAATAAATAAAATCTCGTTAATATGCAGTTTATTTTTGTTGTTGAGACTATACACAGCAGAACAAACACAAGTTCAACAGTGTCTACATGTACAATTCAATGACATTGATTAGAGTCTTCAAGTTGTACAAACATCTCTCCCTTCTTGTCTGAGTTTTTCTGCCACTAACTTAAGTCCACTGCCTCCTCAGTTTCTTGTCTAATCTTTCAAGCTGCTGTTCTCAGTTTGATCCTATATAGATCTTCAAAGGCATAATGCTCAAAGCAGATATTCTTTACTAGTTGCTTTTGCTTTTTATAAACTATTTAATACTAAAGCTTTAATTGATTAATATCATACTATTTTTAAAACAAGGAATTAATGTCTAAAGTTTTTCTGCCATCAACCATTAAAAAATTTCAAGAAGGAGTCTACAGCCTCCTTTTCTGTAAGCTAAAGAATTGTTTGGTTTTATGAAGACCTCAGGATAATTTTGGTTTAGGTTTAAAAAGTATCTCAGGGCGGTAGTTTTGGGGGTTCATCTAGCCTCTGTGGCTCCAAGAAGTCTGAATTCCATGAGAATTTGAAATTCTGTTCTGCCTGCCCCCATCCTCCTTTGATCAGGATTCTACTATAGAATTGTTTGTCAAAATACTCAGTAATGGTAGCCAGACACTAATCTAGCTCTTCCTGTCTCATGTTCATGGAGACAACTAGCCACATAGTCATTTCCTCCTATTCCCATCCTTCCTTTAATGATCTTAAAAGAAATAAATCTTACCTATATAGAACAGCATAGGAGCCCTGTAGCATAGTAGATTACAAACTGGGCTGCTAACCAGAAGGTCAGCAGTTCGCATGTACCAGTTGCCCCTTGGGTGAAAGATGAGGCTTTTTGTTCCTGTAAAGCCTTAGGAACTCTACAGGAACGCTGTGATTTGGAACCAACGCCACAGCATACTACCATTACCACCACCACCACCACCATATAGAGCAGCATAGATCTTAAAATGTTAAGTAGGAAAAGATACAAAAAATACATATATGTGTGTGTGTGTGTGTGTGTGTATATATATATATATATATACACACATACTATCTTTTCTAGGCATATGTCGTCACATAAACATTTGTTCATTCAGTTTAGTGGTCATTTAGTAGAAATGGGTATTTGTGCATGTGGTTGGAAAAGGTCTGAAAAGATGTCCACCAAATGAATCAATGTGGAAGAGAGTATGATTAAGGGTGGTGATAAATAGGATTTTGGTTTTATAAGGTAGGGCAACAAAGTTCATTTAATTCAGAAAACATGCGCATATCCATTGATTGATCTGTGTTGGTGATAAGTGCTTGCAAGTCAGTTCTGACCCACAGCGACCCTGTATAGCATTTCCAAGGAGCAGCTGATGAGCTTGAACAGCCAACCTTGCAGCTTTGTATTTCAGCACATTAACCCACAGAACCACATTTAATCAAGAGAAAGAGCTAATCCTGATTTTATGTCGTCTATGGGAGAAAAGATGGATCATGGTGCAAATAGCAGGGATTATATTTCAAAAAATTACTTTTGTTTTTTTAAACTTTTGATATTAAAGTTTCTGAATGTTCTATTTTAATTCATTAATATCATATTTTAAAGACAATGAACCAAAGTGATGTCCATCTGTTTAATTTTTTTTCTGCCATCAACCATAGTGCTTAAATTAAAAAAGAAATCTAAAGTCTCCTCTTCTGTAAATATTATTTTTGTAGCTGATCCAGCTCCATACATAGATGGAATCCGAATTAATAGTCCTCATTATTTGACTAAGATAAAGCTGACCACACCTGGGACCCATACCTTTACATTAGTGGTTTCTCAGTATGAAAAACAGAACACAATCCATTACACTGTCCGGGTAAGTAAAACAGTGTACAGTGGCAAAACACATTACTATGAAATACATGATGTGCGTGCTCTTCTTTGTAGATGAGAATACCTGGTGGAGATACTTATCTCTGAAAATTAATTGTTCTCCAAAATGTATGTTTGTTTTTATGTCTGTGTGTATTTCTGTGTGTGTGTAAAGTCTATTACGTTAACTATTATTCCTCCTTTAGAAAATAATGACTTTGAAAAGTAACATTTTTGAGTAACATTTCGAATGAACGTTCTGAGGTAATATGGTATGGTTGGATTTATTTTAGTTTTAAAGCAAGCAGTCAAAACCCCTTTAGCCTACATGATACTCTTATTGTTGAGTTCTGTTCAGTCAGTTTTGACTTATATTGATAGCCTGTATAGGGATTCAAAGGTGTAACAGTTGGGTTTGAACTGACATTGTGGTTTGCAGTGCAGTGCTTATTCTTCTGCACCACACCAGGACTCTTCAGATATTCTTGTTGTAGTTAAGTGTGATAGAGTCGTTTCCTACTCAGCCACTCTATATAGGATTTCCGAAAAGAATGGTTAGTGGGTTTTAACTGCCAGTGTTTATCCTGCAGCACTATACCAGGAGTCCTTAGATAATCTTAAGATTTAAAAATAAGTCTTTGAACTTGGTGAAAAGGGCAGTTAATCACCTGTAAACATTTTGCTTTCAAGTACTTGGGGAAGACTATTATAGTTTTGTTATAACTAGATTGGTTTGCTATATATAGATTAAGCTCATTTTGAATTGATATTTAATGATGAAATAACCACAGGGAGCTCCTTCCACCCTCTTCATTCTTCAGCTACAGAAGCCAAGGGCTGGAGAGATTAAGATTTGTCTGGAGTCCCACACAGGTAGAGAAGAGCTAGGACAAGATTCCTTGCTTTCTGATTCCCAGTTTAATGAACTTAACTTGATATTAGGCTGCCTATAGAATAAGGATTTCAACCAATAGATGTTTTTGAATCTAGGTATATTCAGCTTGCAGCTTTACTTTTTCGAAGATCCCTTCACCATATACCTTATCAAGACGGGTAAGAGAAATCTTTTTCTGTATCATAATTTCAGCATTATAATATTTTAGAATTCCCTTTCTGTTTTCCATTTTTATCATTTTATTCTAAACATTTTATAATTTATCAGGAAATAACATTCTGGGTATGACAGGATGCAAAGAGAACATATTAAGCAACCTCCATTCTAAGTTGGAAGACTAGACTTTTCTCATCAACATTAAGTAATTCTATGTTGTTAAGTGTTTTGAGTCGGTTCCAGCCCATAGCAACTCCATACAGGGTTTCCAAGGAGCGGCTGGTGAGCTTGAACTGCCGACCTTTTGGTTCAAAACAACCTTGCAGTCGAGTGTTTATCCAACAGCACCATACCAGGACTCTATAGGACGAAGAAAAACTTTGAGAAAACAGATTAATGCAAACTTTCACTATTGAACAAGATGAATTGATGAACTAATTAAAATTTGGATCTAAATTGCAAAGTGGCTGACATGTGTACAAGAAAACTAGGACTTAGGTGTGATCGTAAAGCAGCCTGGCTGAAAGGGAAAGTTGTAGTGACTGACTGTGGCACATAGGAGAACAAGATGGGATGGAGCTACAAAACAGAGAGTTGACCTCAAATAAAAGGATTTTTGTTTTTAAAGTGGAATTTGAGACTATGAAGTGTTAATGTCAACATTTTGTTTTCTTAGATTAATGGAAAGTGGAGTGGTCAGAGTGCTGGAGGGTGTGGAAATTTCCAAGAGACTCATAAAAATAACCCCATCTACCAATTCCATGTAGATAAGACCGGGCCATTGCTAATTGAGCTAAGAGGACCAAGGTTTGTGCTAAGTAATTTTTTTTAGATCAGTTGTATTTAATTTCTAGATTGTTGTTGTTAAGTACCTTCGAGTTGATTCTGACTCATAGCAACACTGTATAGGGTTTTTAAAGCTTAAATCTTCAAAAAAGCAGAAAGCCTCATTTGTCTCCCACAGAGTAACTGGCAATCTTGAACTGCAGACCTTGTGTTTTACAGTCCAGTGCTATCTTAGAGAGCCACTGCACTCGCCAGTTTCTAGATAAGCATATTATTTATTAGCCATGTGTATTTTTTTTTCATATTATATATTAAGTGCTGTTTGGTCGGTTTCAACTGATAATTACCCTCTAAGGAGCCAGCTGGTGGTTTTAAACCACTGACCTTGCTGCTGGTAGTTCAGCAGTCAAGAAACAAAACGACATATTGCATCAGGCAAATCTGCAGAAGACTTCTTTAAAGTGTTTAAGAACAAGGATGTCAGTTTAAGGACTGAGGCCCACCTGACGCAAGCCATGGTATTTTCAGTAACCTCATATGCATGTGAAACCTTCACTGTGAAAAAGGAAGACTGTAGGAGAATTGGGGCATTTGAGTTATGGTGTTTAGAAAAGAATATTAAAAGTACTGTGAACTGCCAAAAGAACAAATCTGTCTGTGCTGGATGAAGTGCAGCCAGAATGCTCCTTGGAAGCCAGGATGGCCAGATTTCGTTTCTCATACTTCAGACATTATCAGAAGGGAGTAGTCCCTGGAGAAGGGCATCATGCTTGGTAAAGTGGAGGGTCAGAGAAAAAATAGGAAGTCCCCCGAGAAGATGGATAGGCACAGTGTCAGCAGTAATGGGTTCAAGTGTAGCAACAATTGTGAGGTTGGCGCAGGACGGGGCAGGGTTTCGTCCTGCTGTGCATAGGGTCGCTATGAGTCATTGCTTACTTGATGGTACCTAACAACAACAACAGCTGTGTAACTCATGAGGTTGCCATAAGTTAGAATCAAATTGATGGCCACATGTTTAATTTTTGCCTGTTAGGTTTTGGTTGGTGTTTTGGGGTCTATCGTATGTTAATTTTGGAAATTCAGATTTTATGTCAGGGCTTGCTCTGCTGTTCCATCTTTCTGCTTATTGCAGTAATATTTTAAGATTTATATGCTTTTGGGGAGCCAGTAGGAAAAACAGAGTCTCTTTTAAAGTTAAGTTTAATACCTTATTAGTTTTAATGGCTTCAATTAAAAAGTATAAGTGGCGTTTTTTTATAGTTAAGTGTAAAAGTAATAAGCATACGGATGAGTGCTGTTTCATCCTATTGAAGCTTTAGAAATCATATACTTGATTTAATAGTTCAATACATTGGCACTTTAAATAGTTCTTTTAAATTTTGCATTTATTCAACACTAGTAACAGCAATAATTCTGTTCCCTTTGAATGCTAGGCAGTATAGCGTTGGATTTGAAGTGGTAACTGTTTCTGTGGTTGGAGATCCTGGTCCCCATGCTGGCTTTCAGAGGAAATCTAGTGGTGACTACAGGTAATACTACCATTTTGATTATATCCTATTTATAACTGTACTTTTTGTGGTAGCATCTTCAACAAACCTTGTTCTCATTCTCCTGAATATAGGTGTGGGTTTTGCTACCTGGAAATAGAAAATATACCTGCTGGGATCTACAATATTATTCCCAGTACTTTTTTGCCTAAACAAGAAGGACCTTTTTTCTTGGACTTCAATAGTGTTAACCCCATCAAGACAACACAACTTCAGTGATGGAGAAATCTCAGCTATTACTGGATATACTTGGAGTCCTGGTGTGGCGTTGTGGGTGAATGTGCTGGACTTAAGAGTTGATGTGAACTGCAAGGTCGGCAGTTCAAGCTTTCCAGCTGCTCCTCAGAAACCTTACATAGGATCGCTATGGGTCGGAAATAATTCAACTGCACTTAACGACAACAACATACTTGGCAAACATCGACTTACGAAATGAGGACACAAATCTGCAGAAACTTAAAAAAACCATCAGAACTGAATTAAATCTCTCAAAATGTGTTACAGTGGAATCTGGTGCTCAAGTCAGGTGTTTGGTGAGAATTATGTATAGTCAGAATAATCCTACACCAGTTTACTTGGTTTGTAAATGTAGAGTTGGTTTGCATTGAGAGGCCATGTTGTATAAAAGAGTACATGTCATTAAAATTAGACTCCCAACACTGTGAGGTAGGCCTTTGCTAAGAGAAGGCGAGAGCTAAGAGGAGCAGCTGAGGAAATTGAAGGACATAGGCTCATTAAGTGGAACAGTGGGTGGGTGTAATATTATGAAATATTTACATTCATTTTTCTCTTTTTTGCAGAGCATGTTGTAAGTTAAGCCTGCTTGTTCTGTGACTCCACTGTACATCTTGGGCAACTAACCAACCAAATGCATCATGTCCCCATAGCCAGGTTTTAATTCTGCATTGACTTTGAGGTGTTTATTGTTCCTTAAGTGTCATGAAAGGATAAAGCTTTAAGAAATCCTAAGTAACTTAGCATAAAGATGTTCATGCTTAAGAATGAAGGCTGTTGGAGTTAGGGACATAATTCCTATTGAATCGTGTAAAGAGAACTGAGCTATATACACTACTGCAGCTTTTGAAAGTAGTAATCTGAGGCATTGAAGACATAATGTAGTTGGATAGACTTTTCAGTTATGCTATATAGTTCAGTGCTCTTTATGACAAAAGCACTTGAAAGAAAGTAAAATTGAGATTTTAATATATGGTGATTGAGTTATATATAATAGCATTCAGAAAAAGTGTATTTCTAAGATACTAATTTAGTATCATGTGTAAATCCCAGTTGTTTACATAAAAATCCATCAGAACAGAAATGGTCAAGATTTGTAAAATCTTAAATTTAATAGGGTGGGATTTTTCACTGTCTCTGCTTTATAATAATGAAAACTTATTATTTTGTATTTTATACTGCCTTTAATTGAAATAAAATGTTTATACTTAAGGAAACTACATAGTTTAATCTAGAGAAATTATTAAAATAGTTCATCTAATGTGTTTTATTTAGAAGAGAAGATGTTAATACTGTTGTTGAAGTGCTGTCTAACCGATTCTGACTTAAGGCGGCCCTCTATAGGGTTTCCATGAAGTGGCTGGTGGGTTTAAACTATTGACCTTGTGGTGAGTAAGTCCAGTGCTTACATTTAAAGCAGTATGTTAGTATATCTATGAGATTTTTCTTTGCAAGTATTGTGTTTTCAGTTTTTGCATATTACTTTTATGTGGATTAATCTCATTTTTCATGTCCTTTCAAAGAAAAAATTCAAAGCGTAAGAGTTATATTTACTATAAATACGTATGACTTGCATTTACTGTGTTCAATATGTCGTGCAGGATACTAACTGGCATAAGACCAAATCCTGGCTTTCAACAATCAAATGGAAATCTAAACATGAAGTTTACTATCTTGTCATGTTGATTGGTACAGTATGTAGAGCTCTAAATGGTGCTGACATAATGTGCAAATGAGGAAAAGATTACTACTGGCTGGGCCAGTAGACTTCTTTGGCTGCAGTTACCAAGTGCTTACTATGTTGTTTGTTGTTTGCCGTCGAGTCGGTTCCGACCCATAGCGACCCTGTACAGGGTTTCCGAGGCTGTAAATCTTTACGGGAGCAGAACCTCATCTTTCTCCCGCGGAGCGGCTGGTAGTTTCGAACTGCTGGCCTTAAGGTTCGCAGCCCGATTCATAACCACTATGCTACCAGAGCTCCTTAGTGCTTACTATAAGCCAACATATATTATTTTTACTTTTATCTTCTTAACAGTGGGAAAAATAGAGATACTATTATCTCTGTGGTGCTGCCGGTTTCTTTGTTCTTCCTGTGCTGAGTTCATGGGTTTTGTGTTCTTGTCAGTTTCTTCATAGTTCTAATGTTTCCATGTTCTTTGTGGTTACTTTATATTCTAAAACAGGCTATTTTATTCTGTAATCTGCCTGACCTCCTCACCACCTGGATCTCTGTTCCTGAGTGTTCACCTTCTTTCACACTGTAATTGTGTTGATCCTAGAGTGACCTCCCAGATCTCTGAATTTGTTCTTAAATAGTTTTGTTCTGTGCTCGACTCTTCCATTTGTCGATTGAGTTCCAGAGGTGCTGCCATGTATGTTAATCTCTGGTTGTTGGCGTTCTGTGAGAACCAACAAGACGAGACCTTTAGATTGTTTTGCAATGCAGGGTTGGCTTTGGCAAAATCCCTTAGCTTCTGTTTATCCTGGAATGTTCTGATTACACCGCATTGTATTTGACAGCTTTGCTGGGTGCTGGGTAGAGGATACTTGATTAGCAGCTTTTTTCCTTTCAGGGTTTTTTATATGCGTCTCCGCATTGCGATAGTATTGTTTCTGATGGACAACTGAAGAAATAGGCCTGGAAAGAAACATTATAGGAACTGTAAACCATGCCAATTTTGGCGGTTTTTCTAAATGGTGTTTCTTTCTACAAAGCGGGAGGTGGGTGGGGAGTGATGCCTCAGCTGTAGGGAATAGGTTTTTCTAAATAATTCAAGAAAGTGTCCATTAGTTAACATTTATATTTGATACTGTTAATGGTTGTCTTTTCTAGTCCCCCACACTGTTGGGAGCAGATTACTTAAACAAGGTAAGCATGGACTTAACTTGTGTTTTACTAATCTGTATTGAACACAGACTGTTTCACATGGGTTTCACCACTATCCAGGACTCTGCTATTTATATTCCACTAGAAAAAGGATCCATCTGATAGTGGATCCCAAGTAATTGGGGATAAGACCCTGGAAGATTTTAATTGTAGCCAAGATCAAACCTTGGTAATATGGCCTTAAATGATTAGAATCTAGGACGTTAATTGAAACCATTAATGTTTTCCTTACTGGTAAGACAGTGGTTCAAATAAAAGGTTTACACAACTTTGGGTTAGAGAGAAAGTTAAGTTAAACATCATCTTAAGTTTTTATTACACTCAAAGTATTAAGACAAGTAGAAAATAACCTTGTAATTAGGATACTGTGTCAGTCAATAAAAAAACAGACGTCACTACAGTATGAAGAGATTTACAAATGACTGAAATATACAAGATGTGACAAAATTAATTTGAAATGGGGAGGGTTTTTTTCCTTGTAGAAATGTTAAGTTTTCTAAAAGAAAGGACACATTAAACACAGCACACCATGTGTATAACCATGGAGACATGAAAGAAGCGGTCTTAACACTTAACTACTATTAATATAACAGACCCCATTGCTTCTATTTTAACAGCCTTTGCCAACACATGCCTACTTCCTTTGCTAGCTTTAAGGAACAATTTCCTCTAAGGAATACTAGTGCAGCATAACCTTTAAATATTGTCATTTACTTTTAAAGTTAACAACCTATAGAGAAATTAACACCTTGGTAAATCTAATAGAACAATGCAACCATTCTCCACATGCACTTCTCTTAGAACAAGTCCCCTTGGCTAGTAGAGTAAGGTTTATGCTACAGAACCTTCTCCCAGCCACCACAAATCCCCTTCTATATGTCCCTGCTACCCCCACCCCCCATTGACATTCACCTTTCCCATCCCAAAAAGTGCAGCTCTTGGGAACCTTTCTAGAAAAAAACTTTAAAGCATCTTAGGTGGGGTGTCCCAGCATATATGTTTATTTTAAAAGCCCCCTCTGCACACCAGAGGATGTTCTTAGCCTAAATAAGCAATTACAACCAATTCTTAGAGTTGTGTTCTTTTTTAAAGCCCTCTAAGAGCAGAGAAGGTGTGCTTTGAATACTTGAGTTTTAATGGTCTCACTTAGCTCTCCTGGGATATAAATAAGATGTCCATCCTAGCTCTTGGCCAGTTTGGTTTGCTTCCTAGCCTGGGTTCTCTCCTAGGAACTACTTATTGCTTCCACAATGTCACTACAGGAGCGGTCCACCAAAACTGTGAGCCTGTAACAACTCCGCTCTGAAAAAGCAGCCCTCAAGCTCACTGAAACACACTACTGCAGGTTGGAGTAGACGCTTAAGATTTGGCATATATTAAATGATTATTGGCACAATGTTCTCCATACAGTTTCATGTATAAATATTGATGATGCACATGGGCCAGGGCCCTGGACGGATCAACCAATCTGCACCATTTTTATGTTGGCAATGATTCCGTCTCTTCCCTTGGAGCACTGGAGGGAGAGCTGCTTCATCCGGGTCTCCATGGCAGGGCCCTCAGTGGCCAGGCGGCTTTGGTTCTTACCACCACCACTGCTGCTGAGACCCCGATTGTTGTTGGCTTTGTCACTTGTTTTATTCTCTGCCCCTTCTGCCCTGTCCCCTGTAGAAATGATAAAGATCAAGTGAGTAATGATTTTCAAGGGTCTCTTCTTAGACCCACGCAAATCATCCAACCCGGTGCTTAGTGTTCCCTAGTCATGCATTTATCTCAGAAGGTTCTCGCATCATACTGCTCACTGCTTTCATTTCCCCTAGGCACTTAGAGTCATCTCAGAGGACAAAGTCTGTACGCTCATATCTGGAAAACAAACCCTCCAGAGAGTGTGTTTGCCAAGAATCTAAGCACTATCAGGAGTGGAGCTAGGAGACCCCCAAAAAGCATTGAAACCATTACTGAGCAATACTGACAGCACAGGTACAAACGAAAAGTTACGTGGCACTGGAGCAGCTGGTGAGTTTGAACCACTGACTTTTTAGTTCAACTAGACCTTGCAGTCTCGTGTTTATGCTATAGTACATACCAGGACTCCTAGAAAAATGCAGACATCTGAGTAGACAACCAGTCATGAGAAGGCTGCAGCTTACCTCGTTCTACCTCGCATTCTGGAGAGGAGGCCCCACTACATTCACTGCGAGGACCCAACACTGGGAACATCATCCCAAACTCCGACAGAGACACAGGGCTGGGCAGGTCCAGGCTGCCAGGCCTCACAACCACAGGAAATTGGTCAGGCATCTCAGATGGGCTTGTTGGTCCAGAACTAAAGCTGGACACAGACTGGGTTTCCGAGTCATCTTCAGATACGAAGTTGCTGCAGTTGTCATCTTCAAAGGCCTCTGAGGCAACTAGGATGAGAAAAAACACAGTCACATAGAGTCTAGCAAATAGTTAATGGGTTTAGCTGCTAACCTAAAGGTCATGTCCACCCAGGGGGGCACCCTGGAAGAAAGTTGTAGCACTCCACTGAAAGTCTATGGCTGTACTCTGACTGACACACACGGGGTTGCCGCTGTGGGCAATTCCCAAGTCTGCTGACCAGCCATGAAGGTAGCCAGAGCACATAAATGTTCTGTCCTCTGAACACAGAGGAGGGGTCAGCCCTGTGTGGAATATATGTTGTAACCCTTTTTTGTTTTAAATCTTCCAGGTCACTTCTGGACATACTCAGAGCATGCCTCCATCACTTCTTATTGGTGCTATGGAGTCAATTTTAGCTGATAGCGATCCCATGGGACAGTAGGACTACCCTACAAGGTCTGGTAGGCTGTGATCTTTCATCCCCTACTCTCTCCCTCGTCTTTAACAACGACCTGTGAATCATTCCACGGGAACGTGGTGGCTCCTACAAACCATTTGAGTCCAAACCACAAGGTCCACAATTTGAGCCTGAAAGCTGCTCCACAGGAAAAAGATAAGGCTTTCTGTTTGCATAAACATTTAAAAGTCTCAGAAACCCTATACGAGGCTGTTGTATAGTGCCATTGAGTCCGTTCTGACTCATAGCAACCCTGTATTGGGTTTCCCTAGGGGCAGCTGGTACGCTCTGCCAGCCTTGTGGCTCAAACTGACCTTGCAGTCCCATACCAGGACTACTACTGGACATGGCTTTGGGATCTAAGCCCATAATCTAATTCCATGACTTTGACCAAGCTACTCATCCTCACTGAGCCGCATATGTTCCTCTTCCTACAGGAACAAAGTACATGAAAGTACCTTTATCTTCAGTCACTGTGCTGTGTTCTTACTAGTTACCAAACCAAAACCACTGCCTTCAAGCCGATTCCAGCTGTGGAGTGTTTCTGAGGCAGGAAGTAAGTCCTGTCTTTCTCCCAAGGAGTGTTTATCCTACAGTGCCATCAAGTCAGGTCTGACTGGACTCAATGGCGACCCTGATAGGGTTTCCAAACAGCAGCTGTTGAGCTTGAATTGCCAACCTTATAGCTCAAGACTGACCTTACATTTGAGGTGGCATAGAAGTTAAGCACTCGGTTGCTAAAGTTCAGTAGTTGGTACCCACCAGCTATGTCAAGTGAGAAAGATGTGGCATAGCACTGTGCTTTTGCAGAAAACACAGCCTTGGAAACCCTAGAGGGGAGTTCTGCTCTGTCCTATAGGGTCATTATTGTTAAATGCCTTGTGGTTCAAACTTACTTTGCAGTCCAGTGCATTAACCCACAACGCCATACCAGGACTCTGGTCTCTTGTTAAGTGCCGTGGAGTTGGTTCCGACTCGTAGTTCCAACTCATAGTGAGCCTGTACAGGGTTTCCAAGGCTGTAAATCTTTACGGGAGCAGAAAGCCTCATCTCTCTCCAATGGAACAGCTGGTAGTTTCGAAATGACATCACCCACAGGGGCTACGTGACCCCCTACTTGCTCACCAGAAACTGCATCCAGCTCAGGCTTGCCTCCAGGCAGGTCTTCCACAGACATGTTGCTGCCCTCGGCCCCAACACCACAGCCCCGGGGCCCCATGGCACTGGAGCGCCGCCTTTCATGGATCTCGTCTGAGATCATCTCCAGGTTCTTCAGGGCTGTCTTGTACTCGCCTTTGGCCAGGGCCAGTTTGGCCTGCAGGTCATCCACAGTCTTCTTCAGTTGCTGGTGAGGAAAGAGGACACCAGTGAGGCAAGCCTGCCCCTGCTGGCATATCTGCCCATCAGTCCAGTTCTCAGGACTGAGGACAGATGTACCCTTCATTTTAGCATCACAGCTATCAGCTCACCAGATAAATTCAGCAACTCCCGGCCTCCTCACATGGGACACTAGAACTTTCATTTCTAAAATGTTCCAGGGACCACATGTGAATACTTACTGCCCAAAGTCCAAGACCATCTGAACCCTAAAACTCTAGGGAAATCTACGAAATAAAACCCCTCATCACTGAGTCTATTTTAACTCATAGCTTGCCGGGCTGAGTAGAACTGCTCCCATTGGTTGCCCAAGACAGTTACCTTTCTGCCGCAGTGTTTGACCACTGCCTGACCAGGGCTCTATAGCTGAAAGCATACTGTCACACAAAAATGGGGCAGACAAAATCCCATCAGTGACCAAGCTAAATCCATACATACCTCAAGCTGCACATAGTACTTCGCCTTGAGTTCAAAATAAGGCCTGTAAAAGATAAGGAAAAAACATAAGGGTCTGACAAGGCTGTGAAGTATAGGTGACACTCCCCCCTCCAAGGCCTGACTGACATTGAGGCAAGACATCACTGCTGGACTCAGACACAGCCATGCCCACAGGAGACCAACACACGTACACCTGCGCACTTTTGTTCAAAGTCACACAGAGTGCTAAACAGCTAAGGAAGCCTGGGTCCCTTCCAGTGAGGTTGGTTATCCAAGGAAGACTGCTCCAAACACATCCTTCTCTGTAGAGGCTGACTCGGATGGCAGCCTTACCTCCTTGCTGAACCCAGTGGGGAAGTACAGGAAAAGAGGTACTGGGCAGCATGATTCAGTGCCCAGCATCAACTGGTCTGCAGACCTAGTCAGATCCAAGGGCATGAGCAACATTTCACAAATCCCCTGAGTTGTGAAGTAGCCAGTACACATCCTGGCTTGTTTTTGGTAACTAGGTGTCTAAGCAGTAAGACCATAAATAACAGTGCTTCATTCTTAAGCTGTCTACCTTCCACAAAGTCCTAGAGAGCGTATCCTGAGCATCGACTTGGATGACAAGGACACTGAAGAACCACCCTTGATGGGCATGGAAAACCTGCAATGTGGGAAGGGGTAGGGCTCACAGAAGCCACTTTGTGACCAAAGGGAGCAGACATCATCAGCCTTGCAAGGTAAGAGTAGGAGAAGTTGGGGAGGAGTATGAAAAGGAATTGCAAGGCCACAGTGAACATTTCCAGAAGGAAATGTGAGCAACCATATCATAGATGAGGAGGCAGGTGGGCAGAGGAATACACAGACTGACGTTTTATCCTACAGGAAGGGAGGAACCTCCCAAAAGTTCAGGATCCATCCCTTTACTCTCCAAGTGTAGGTGTCTTGAAGGGGTTGGTAGAGTTCTGTCATGGGCTGAATGATGCCTCCAGAATAGATGTCAGGTGATGTGACCCGATATAAACCAGTAAGAGGATTGAGGGTAGGCTAAAATACTCATATAACCCCATCATAAATAACCCTGATCTCTGATACATGGTAGTTTCCCACAGATGAGAACTAGTGGAGTGTGTCCTTTAGACCTGGGGGTCCCCGCACTTTGCTAGATCCAGGGGAAGATTGGTGGCTACCATGCACAAAGATCGCCAAGGAATGCTGGGCCTACAGATGCTGCAAGAAGACAAGGACCTTTCTCCAGAGCGGGCCTCAATTCAGACCCCCCAAACTCAGAGAATAAATTTCTTAAAAGACACCACTTGTGGGATCTCTGTTCTAGCAGCACTGAAAAACTAGGACAAGTTCAATCACAAGGAATTTTATCTTCTTAAATAAGGATGGATAATTGAAAGTGACTGTGTATGTGGAGTCTTAGTGTATTGTAGGATAAGCACTGGTCTGCTAACCACAAGGTCAGTGGTTTAAACCCACCAGCTGCTCCTCAAACCCTATACAGGGTGACCATGAGTTGGAACAGACTCAGTGGCAATTAATAGCAATAAGTATATGTATGCAGTGTTGAGTGGACAGCATGTGTGTGTGAGAGAAGATGAGCAGAGAGAAGTCAAAGAAGCTACAGTCTGTAGAAGATACTGGGAGAGGCTACAGAGCTGAGAAAGACCTAAGTCTCTCTTGAAGGACTATAAGGTCTTTCCCACTATATCAGCACCTCATCCCCTCACCTCGGGGAGGGCTGGGGCATCTGTCACCCTCTGGCTGGCTGGTGCCTGCAGCTTCCAAGAAGAGAACTTCACTAGCACTGCCCACACACCCCTCGCAGTGGGCTCTGGGTCCCTCTATAGCTGTTGGGTCTAAGTCATCCACGATCTTGCCTCTTCTGCTCAAAGGTCCAGCAACTGTCAATGAAGCAGGGTGCTTATCCTCAAGAGAGGACAAGCACAGCTGTTTGCTCATCATGATAGTTACTGTATAAGATGAGTTTGGAAAAACTTCATGAAGCCATCCTGAAGCATTTCATTGAGAATGTGCATTGTGTACACATCCATCCCCATTATGCTGACAGGTAAACTGAAAGGCAGGGTCTTGTACAACTGTTAGCCACAGAGCCAAGGGCATACCACCCGAATCTCCCAGAGCCCAAGCTCCAGGCTCCAGCCAATGGGACACACAACCATTAGCTTTGGCAGTTCCATTTTCTGTGTCTCCCAAATCAGCCATACCTAGCTCTGCCCTACCCCTCTGCATCTTCCTGTTTGTGGCTCTGAGGGGGGGTCATCTAGCATATTGATAGGTGGGGGACACTGAATCTGTGTCAAGGACTTGCTCAGGCTGCTCCCTAGCAAATGGCATAAACAGGTGGAGACGGTGAGGGGAAGAAAACAATGCTGCCACCCAAGAGAAGGCTGTACCCAACTCACTTGGACTTGTTGATGGCTCTCTTGAGCTTCTTCTCCAGCTGCCGCATCCGGCCCATGGCAGCGTTGTACCTGGCCGCTGTCTCCTTATGCACCAGCTCACTCCTGGTCTTGGTCTGTTCTGCCTCCATGACCTTCAAACGACAACAGAGGTCAGTCCAGCCACACCCAGAACAATCCCGTCAATACTTTTTCATCATTTAAAAAAATATTTCCTAAGCTTTCAGGACTTCCAGTTTGGGCGGCAGGAGAAAAAGCAAGGTAGGGAAGTCTCCGTAGTAGAAGGACTGGGAACTCACGCAGGAAGCGCTCACAGAAAAACTCCAGAGCTCCCTCCACAACTACCATAACATCCAGGACATCAGTTTCCCCGCACTTGCAGCAAGTGAAAAAATCACCATGCGAGTTAGTAATCTGGAGACAGGACTCCCACTATGGCCACCCCACCCTGGCAGAGTTTAGAGGGTGGGGCTACAGTCATTCCAGCTTGGGGAGCCAGCTCTGAAAGTGGCACAGAGACACTTGCAAAAAGAGGTGCGGGAGACTACACATTTCTCCTGCATCTTCGTTGTTGTGCCTTCTTTGTCCAGCCAGGACGCCGTAAGGCGGGTGGGTGCACACCCCCCAAAAAACAGCGTGGACCTCAGTTTCCCCACCGTATAGAGAGAAGGAGCTTGGCAGCTATTAATGACATCAGCCATGGAGACAGAGCCCTAAGATTGACTTGTGCGAGACCCTTGGTGCCTGTGCAGCCGCAGAATCAATACCAACTCCAGGTGACCCTGTGCAGGGTTTCCCGGGCTCTTGGTCTTTGTGGGAGTGGAGCGCCTCGCCTTTCTCCCACAGTGCAGCTGGTGGTTTTGAGCTGTTGACCTTGTGGTTCAAAAGCCCCATTCGTGGCCGCTGTGCTACCTGAGCTCCATGTGCAGGACCTTATAAAACGATTTATAAAACCCCAACATAAAATGACAACCATCTCCAGAATAGCGCTGTGCACAGACACCTAACTGACCTTCAAAGACAAAAATAGTGGACTTCAGAGACAAAAATAGTGGACAATCTTCCTCCCATTAACTTCTCAATATCTACCTGTGTGCCTCTACTGTATTGAATAGAAGAGGGGCCCGAGTGAGCAAACACCCTCACCCACTGCTGAAGGCTTCTACCTTGCACACACACTGCCTGTTTAGCACAGGGCCGTCGCCACAGCTTTATTTCTGTTCCTAAGTGGTGGTATTTGTCTCTGCATTTATATTACTTCTGCTTGTGGTCCTTTTGATCACACATCTTTCCTGGAGGTAGGAGCTTTTTCTCTGTCCATTATCCAAGAAGAGACAGCAATTGTGGCCATATAGCCAAGCTATTAGCATACCCCATAATATTCCACCACTGAGACAAGAGCCAACAACACTTGCTAAGGATTACATGTGAAAAAGGAAGCCTATGTCCTGATCATATTCACCAGGAGTCACCAGTAAGCCTAATAACAAACAAATACCCACTTAAGCGTTAAAAAAAAAAAAAAAAACATTAACTATTGGAAATTATGAACAAGAAACAACAAACGATATCAAAACATATCCAAAACCAGAAGAGAGTAGCTGAGACAAATGACCTGGAGACAGACAAGAGCTTTCTACAAGAGGAAAAGCAGGTTTTGGATATGCCTGAGAAAGAATTCAGAAGAATGATATGAAAACAAATTCAAATGCTCTGAAAAGTGATGATGGAAAACAAGGAAGAAGTCACGAAAGTACTACAAGAGCAATCAAATAAGATTGATACAGCATTAGAAACAATACAAAACCTGCAAAAAGAGGGCCAGATGAGTAATAATAAGATATCAGAAATGCATAATACACTGAAAAAGGATAGCAGAATAAAAGAGAAGGAACTCTGGTAGTGTAGTGGTTACGAATCGGGCTGCGAACCGGAAGGACAGCAGTTCGAAACTACCAGCTGCTCCGCGGGAGGAAGATGAGGCGATCTGCTCCCGTAAAGATTTACAGCCTCGGAAACCCTATTCAGGGTCGCTATGGGTCGAAACCGACTCGACGGCACTTAACAACAACAACAACAAAGCCAGAACTAGCAAGTCTCTCAATACTGCTAAGATAGAAACGCAAGCAGAAAAAAGGATAAAAGAATCTGAAGTGAGTCTATGATTCATGCTGGATAACATGAAGAATTATTGGTATTCTGGAACAGGAGGAATCAGAGAAGTCCACAGAGGATAGTTGAAGAGTTTCTGGAAGAAAATTTCCCTAACATCTTGAAAAATGAGAAGGTAAATATTCAAGAAGCCAAACGTACCCCAGGAAGGACAGACCCCAAAAGAAAGTCACCAAGACACATAACAGTCAAGCTCTCCAAAATCAAAGACAGGAGAGAATACTAAAATTGGCCAGGGAGAAGAGAAATGTCACTTATAAAGCAAGCAAATCAAATTAAGCTCTGACTACTATTCAGAACAAACCATGCAGGTAAGAAGGCAATGGGGAGACATATACAAAGTCCTACAAGAAAAAAACTGCCAACCAATAATCGTCTATTCAGCAAAACTATCAGTCAAATACAATGGTGCGATCAAGGCATTCCACGATAAACAGAATCTGAGAGAGTTTATCAAAACCAACCCAGCACTTCAAAACATCCTAAAGGGGGTTCGGTGGACTGAAAACCAACAAGAACAGACAACCAGAGATTGATAGGCGTGGCACCACCACCTGGAACTCAGTCAACAGCAGAGTCCAAAACAGAACAAGACTATAACAATGAACTCAAAGGAGGTGGGAGGTCAACTGAAGATCAAAATTATACAATGTCAAAGAAGGGACAAATGTAGCAACTGAGATCCAGGTGGTGAGCATGCCAGGTAAGTTTACAGGATACAATGGATTCTCTTAAAGGGAGACAAAAGATAGTAGACTATAAGATAACCCCAAAGAAAATAAATACTTCACTATTTAACATTAAAATGAACTTCCAAGCAGAACAAGCAAACATGAAAACTGAGAAGAAATAGCACAAAAAACACCAACCCAACACAAGAAGGCATGCAGAACAAAAGAATGAACAGCACTACCAAAAAAGTAACATAATGGCGGCAATTAATTCATACCTATCTATAATTACATTGAATGTCTATGGATTGAATGCATCAGTGAAAAGACAGACAGTGGCAGAATGAATAAGAAAACAACACCTTTCAATATGATGCCTGCAAGAGACACACCTTACACACAAAGACAAAAACAGACTAAACGTTAAAGGATGGAAAAAAGTTTACCAAGCCAACTGCAACAATAAACAGGCAGGAGTGGCAATACTAATCTCTGACAAAGTAAACTGTAAGATAAAAACCAGCATGAGAGACCAAGAAGGACACTATCTCATGATCAAAGATAACCATAATAAATATCTAC